ATTTTTTTTTTTTTTATTTTATAAATTTTTTTTTATATTTTTTTTTTTCTGTTATACCTTTTTTTAAAAAATTAATAAATTTAATTAAAATTTTAAATTTAAATTTATATCTATTTATTTATATATTTTTTTATTGTTGCTTATATATTTATATAAAAAATATATTTTATTTTTTTTATTATTTTTTTTTTCAAATTAATATTAAAATATATTTTTTATTTTTATAATTTTTTTTATATTTTTTTATATTTTTATTTATATATTTCAATTCAATAATCGAACTTATTTTAAATTCTCAATACTCATTGGAAGATAAAATATTCTTTAAAAACAACTCTTGTATAGATTTTTATATTACAAAAATAAATTGGTAATTTATCTTATTATTATTTTATATTTTTATTTTTATTGGTTTTTTTTTTTTAGGAAAAAAAAGATTATTTGGGGTTTCATGGTGTTATTACTTTTATTGGTTCTTGAAATTTAAATTAAATGAAACTTTAAAGTGATTATAAAATCAAATACATACACAATAATAATGATGTTAAAAATAGATTTTTTATTTTTTTTTTTTTTGGTCTTTAATCGCCATATATAACCAGAATATTAAAAAAAACCAAATATATTCAAACTTATTTATATACCACTCTATAGTCTTCATTCACCCAATTAATATACCCCAAAAAAGAAACAAAAAAAACATTTGTTTGTTAGCCCACTTTATTTTCCCCCTCTCTCAAAATATTAATATATATATAATAAAAATTATAAATAAAATAGCTTTATTTGGAAATAAAAAAAAATAGCATCAAATTAAAATTTATTTTTATTATATATTGTGTTTTTTAACCCTATATTTATTAACATATAAATGTATATCTTAAATAATTTTTATTATTATTATTGTTGTTTTTGTGTTGTTGTTATTGTTTTAAAATAATAATCACAAATAACATTAAATTCATTTATTGTATATTCCCTATATGATCTAATGTTGTTGTTTTGCATAGCAATTGCAAAATAAAAATAAAAAATGATCGCACATATTTAATTATATTATTATTATAAATAATTTATAATAATAACAATATAGGTTTATATTGGTTATTATTATTTTTTATTGCGATTGCGACAGATATAAAACAATTTTTTTTTAATATTTACATTGTTACAAACTTCAAAAAAGCAGAGCTGCAACATAAATTTGTGCGCATTTGTGAGTGTGTGAATAACCACATACTCAATTTAATATCTGTTAGAACAACACTCCATAACTCACACACAACCCCAATTTCAAAAAAAAAAAAATTCAAAAAAAAAAGAAAAAAAACAAAAAAAAAAAACATATTCTAAACCCTTCATATAAAAAAAACTTTTATCCATCCGATACAAATTATATTTATTATTATACCTCCTCTATTTATTATCATTATTATTTTAATTTTTATATAAAAAATAAAAACAACAAATAAAAAATTTTTTTTTTAAAAAAAAAAAATTAAAAAAAAAAAAACAATAAAATTATTGCTTTATTTGTAATGTATATAGTAATACCAGTCTTTCTTTATGCTGTCATTTAAAAACAATAACAATCAACCAAAGATAAAAATATCAATTGAAAAAAAATTAAATCTCAACTAAATTTTATAAAATAAAATTATTTATATATGTTTCTATTTTTAAACTTTTATATTTTAAAGAAAAAATATCAAAAAAGTATGCATACAATGATAAATAAATATCTTTTTCAATTAATTGATATCAATCGCCCAACATATTTTAAATTTTATTTTAAAACTAATACATTGCACAAAAAATTGAAATGATAATATTAATCATTTTTTTCGATAGATTTAATTTTAAATTTCCATTTTCCTTATTTTTTTTACTATAAAAAGGAAATAAAAAAAAAAAACCATTTTCATTAAAAAACAACATTCAAAAAAAAAAACCTTAAAAAAAAAAAAAAAAAAAGTCAACTTTTTTATTTATTTATTTATTTATTTATTTATTTATTTAATTTTATTTATTATTTATTATTTATTATTTATTTATTTATTCCCTTTTCAAATTTTTTAACACTTTTTATTTATTTATATCAACATATTTATTTATTTATTCATTTATTTATTTATTTATATATATCTATTATTTATTTATTTATTTATTTATTTATTTATAATAACAATATAACAATTTTTATAGCGCAATTATTTTATTGTAATTTTTTCTTTTTATTTTTTTTCTTAATATATAAATTCATATTAATCAGTTTTTTTTTATTTAAATTTTTTTAGGTTAAAATTTATTTTTTAATTTTGTAAATAAAATATTTTCTGCCCCACCAATAATCATTTAAATAATAAGTAAAATTATTATAAGAATATTTAAACACTACAAATATCTATTTCTTTTCAAATTGTAAAAATAATCATAGTAATAACAAAAAAAGTAATAATAGAAAATTTAAAATCAGAAAAATAATAAAGATCAATTTAAAAAATGACAGCAATTTTTCCAAACAATCAATATTATTACTGGCCACAATATGCCCCACAAAATATGAATCCAAATAAAATAAATATATATAACCAAAATATGATACCAGCAGCAATGGTACCAGGATATTATACTGCCCCAAATACACCAGTTACTTCATCACCAAATATGCATCTTCACTCACCACAACTAATAATGGATCAAAACTCTCCACCAACTACATATGGATATGGTGATACATCACCAGTTATGTCATTATCATCATCATTTGGTATTCCACCAAATATTTCAATGAATTATAATGGAAATAGTAATTATAATAGCAACTTTTGTATCAATAATGCAATTAATAATATTAACAATACATTAAATATTCAAAATGAAGTCAATCAAGAACAAAACAATAACAGCAATAACAATAATGACAATAACAATAGTAATAAAAGATCATATGCATTAATGGAAGAAAATTCATCTTGTTCAACAAGTGAAGAAGACATTTCATCAGATAAACAATGTTTCTCTGATAAAGAAATTAACGACAACGAAGATGATGCCGATATTTATTCCGAAGATGAAGAGGATCAAGAAGCAATTAAAATTTTTATCACTCCTTTAGTAAATTTAATTTATAAAACACCAGGTATTTGCTCACCAATATTAAGATTATTCTCTGAATGTTCAAGAGAAGAAATTTCAGTAAAGCAAATGTTAGTCAAGGTAAATATTATTTATTTATTTTAAAAAAAAAAATAATCAAACATTAACATTTTTTTTTTATTTAGTTAAAACATTTATGTTCCGAATTTTTATTAGATAGCTCGATTTATATGACATTACTCCACTCATTAGTTAAGATCGATGGTGATGTCAAAATGGTAAAATATTTAGTTGAAAATGGTGTTACCGATGAAGAATTAGAATTTACTAAAGAAATTACATTAAACAACAACTCTCAAGAAGTTACCAAAAAGAAAAGAGAAAGAAAGAGAGAAAGCATTAGTAGAGGTATTAGAAGCCCACCAAACAAATGGACTAAAGAAGAAAGTCAAAATCTTATCAAACTTGTCACTGAAAATGGTGATAAGCAATGGAAAAAAATCGCCACTAAATTGGGTGGAGGTAAAACTGGTGCCCAATGCGCTCAACATTGGAAACGTGTATTGAGCCCAGAAATTAAAAAAGGGTCTTGGGATGAAAATGAAGAAGAGCTTTTATTCTAACTCGTCGACAAGCATGGACAAAGCTGGAAGAATGTTGCTATCGAAATTAAAACAAGAACTGACATTCAATGCAGATATCAATACTTTAAAGCAATCATGTCACGTCAGACTGAATGGAATCAACTCGAAGACGACATTATCACTAAGAAAATCAAATTAATGATTCAAAATAATGAAAAGATTTCATTCTCACAAGTCTCCAAGCATTTAGCAAGAGCTAAAACTACCAAGATTCCAAGAACAGCTTTGGAATGTAAAGCTAGATGGCAAGTTTTAAACTCTCATCAATATCAACAACAACAGCAACAAATTCAACAACAAATCCAACAACAAAGTATTCAAATTCAAAATAGTTTTATTCATGAAGCTCAAAACTATTATTACAAAAATAATAATACTGAACAACCATATCATGCAATAAATATGTAAATAATTTTTTATTTAATTTTTCTTCACCTCTAAATAATATTTATAATTATTTATTTATTTAATAAAAAAAATAAAATAATAAAAAAAATTAAATATAAAATTAAATTAATTTAATAAAAATTTATAATTTTTTTAAATAAAAACTATCTTTCTTTTTTTTTATTTAAACATAGATTTATTACTTGATATATATATAACTGATTTAATATATACTCAATTTATTATCTACTGGCTATAATAATAAATTCAACCAACCTTAACAAACACAATCTATTTAATTAATATTTTTTAAATAAACATCACACATTAAAATCTATAATTCCTAATTAGTATTTAAATCTAGATTAATAAAAAAAAAGATTTTTATTTGTAATTATAAAAATTAGTATAAATAAGAATGAAAAAAATCCAAAAGTATGTACTATTCAACAAATTATTAAAACTAAAAAATATTCAAATGACTTTAATTTGTAAATATTTAAATTTATTTTTATTAAAAAATAGTTTTATAAAACTAATTTTTATTCATTTTTTAATAAAATATAGCATCCATCACCCAATTAGGCTCCTTTTCAAATCAAAAAAACTCTTTAGTTTTAAGTGAAACCAGCCCATCCAATGCTCTAGTAGTTTATGATGATAACTATTTACAAAGATTATTAGATTTACATATTAAAATTAATATTTTGGGAATTATAAAATTAGATATTCATTTAAAACTATAAAAATAATTGTAATATATGATTCATGTAAAATCTTAATAAATAAAAACTATTTATTCAATAAACCTATAAAATCTAAAAATGTTTTTTATTTTTTTTAAAAGACAACTTTATTTTATTTATTTTTTATAATTTTTAAAATCCCATTGGAGAGATCTTTTTTGGTATGTACATATTATCTATATCCATTATTTGTGATGCCAAATTTGAACCCAAAGCATACAACTCTTCAGCACTTAAATTTGGGGAAATATTGAAATTTTTGATTTCTAACATAAAGTTTGGTAAGTCTGATTGATTGCTACAATCCTCATTTGATTCATCGAGTACTAAGCTTCTATTGTTGAAATCAAATTGGTTTATTCCTGAATCAAAGAATCCCATTGACTTGTTATGGTTTACCTCTATTGAGTTATTTCTATTTATATTTAAAAAATTAAAATCTTTTCTTGATTTTTTTAACCATTCATTTAATGCATGATTACCTTTAGTTTTTGGATAATAATCTATATAATAAAATAAAAAATTAATAAATAAATTATAAATATAAAAAAATAAACTTAAATATTTACCATTTGATGAGCTATAATCCATATTAATAAATTGCTGAGGAGCTATGTCCCCAAAAAATGTTGGTGAATAAGATGATCCAGTGCCACTTTGTTGGATTTGATTTAAAGTATTTGACATCAACAAAGCATTTCTATTGGCAGTACTATCAGCTGAAATAGGTGTTGGGTTTTCTACAGGAAAAATAATTACATCAAAGTTTTTTAATGGCTTCTCGGCAAAAAGAGATGAAAGATAAAGAGAAAGAGCAACATTGTTCCATTGAGATGAATCATAGCTACCCACTATTACTATCCATCCAACACTCTCTGAGCTACCATATAATTTTACACCTTTAATATCACATTTATCTCTTTCTTGATTAAAGAATGAAATTCGAATATTAGCTGTTTTGAAATATGAGGACATTGAGATATCATTTAATATTCTATATATATCTTTTAAATTTTGTGGATTTGGAATTGATTGAATAATATCATACTTTTTATTTTGAAACTGGGGGGCGGTATAAAAATTTCTTTTTTGTTGGATATTAGCCTTATAAATGTTTGAATTTTTTAAAAGCTTAGTACTTGAGGAGCAACTATTTGTGGTGGAAATATAAAATCTATCGTTTGATTTTTCATTTCTGGTGTTTTTTGGTGATATCAATGAATTGTTTTTAGAAATGGAATTTGAAACCACTGAAAAACCTATTTTGTTTTTTGCTAATATTGTTTTGATCATTTTTATATTTTTTTATTTTTAAATTTTTTGTAAAAATTTTGTGGGCTAAATTATTTTTTATGAATAACTTTATTTTATTTCTAAATATATAATTATAGTTATTATTATTATTATTATTATTTATTTTTATATTATTATTTTTTTTATTGTATAAAACTATCATAAATCTATTTTATTTTTATTTATTTTATATTATTTAATTTTATTTTATTTAATTTAATTTATATTATTTTGTTTTAAAGCTTTTAAATATTATTAAAATATTTTTTTTGTTTTTATATTTAAATTTTAATTTTATAATTATAATTTTACTAAAAAATTATTTAAAAATTATAAATATTTATTTGATTAATATGTAATTAGTAGTAATAATGAAATAAAAAAAAAAAAAAATTTCATTTTAAATTAAAAAAAAAAATTAATTTAAAATATTTATTTTTTTGTTTTTTTTTTTTTCTTATTTTATTTTTAATTTTCTTTTGTATTTTACTGTCTGTGTTATTATTTTAATAAAAAACTAGATTATTACTATAACACGCAGTATTATCTTAATAATAATTTTTTTTTTTTTTTAAATTTAATTTATTTTTAATTTTTTTTCATATTATCATAAATTTTATTTATAATTATTTTTTTAAAATTATAATAATTTAAGAATGTATATGTGTAAAAAAGTAGTACTTTGAGTTCATAAACATAAACATACTCATACAATTTATTTATTTTTTGTGTGGGTGTGTATGTGAACACGGAATCAATTTTATTATTATTATAATTCCAATAATATAATTAATTTTTCTTTTTTTTTTTTTTTTTTATAATAACGGTTATAATTAGACTTAATTAAACAGAATATATATGCTACATCGGAATTTTTTTTATTTTTATTTCTATTTCTATTTTTATTTATATTTTTATTTTTATTTTTATTTTTATTTTTATTTTTATTTTTTTTATTTTTTTTTTTTTAAGTCAAGTTACTTTTAAGTCCAAATCTCAATAAATCTAATTTTTTGGAATGTTCTGTGTAATAATATAACAAAATGTTCTCGTAAATATTCTATTTTAGTTATAACTTAAAAAAAAGAAAAAAAAAAAAAAAAGAAAAATTAAAAAAAATAAAAATTAAAAAAAATAAAAATTAAAATAAATAAAATTTTCCAAAATTTTAAAATTTTTTTTAACATATAACTACACACAAATTATTTATTAAACACACAATAAAGAAATAAGAAAAAAGGGACAGAGGATAAAATAAAGTACACTTCTATTTTTTCAATAAAAAGTACATAAATTATAATAATATAAATAAAATACAATTATATTAGCAATAACAATAATAATAACAATAACAATAACAGTAATAATTAATAATTAATAATAATAAATAGTAATAATAAATAATAGATAATATAAATACAGTGAAATATATAATAATAATATATATAAATAATTTATAATAAAATTATAAATAAAATTTTACACTTTTAAAAGTGAAAATGGAAACATTTGAAAGCGAAAATCTTTTAAGGTAAACATCAATTATTTTTTGAAAAGGTTTTTTTATTCTTTTTTTTATTAAATTTCTAATATTATTAAATTATAGTGATGAAAAAAGGAGCTATCAAGTAGTAGGTCAAAATACGCCAAATAAATATTGGATAGGTTTAATAATTATATTACTTTCGAATATTTCTTTATCTATAGTTTCAGTTTCAATTTGGCCCTATTTACATTATGTAAATATTTTAATATAAAAATCCATTGTAAAAAGAAAAAGTTATTAATATTATTTTATTTTACAGAATAATCTTTCAATATATGTTTTTGCTATTAGCATAAGTGGATTTCATACAGGGGCAAGCATTGGTAGAAAATTCTTTTCATATTACATAGAAAAAACACAAAGTTATTGGTTATTATTATTTACATCATTAGCGGTTACTTTTATTGGAGATATTCTTTATGCAGCAATACCAGATTCAACATTCGTTTTAATAAGCAGAGCAATCGTTGGATTTGGAACTGGTAGTCAAGTTATATTACAAAGTTTACTTACAGACTCATCTGATCCAATTTTATTGAAAACTAGAATTTCAAAAGTATCTCTTGCAACATCTTTTGGTTATATTATAGGTCCTGCAATAATTGCAATCATTTCATCGATCAATTTAACAACTGCATTAAACATTAAAGATGGTTTATTAGTTTTAGTTTGGCTTTCTGCTTTCTTAACCTTTTTAGCAATGGTAATAGCTATAATTGGTAAATTTACTGATAACTCGATTTCACGACATTATCAATCAAACTTGGGTACAAGTGGCGAAATAGGTAAGATATCAAAATACTAAAAGTATACACAAAAATTAATAATATTTATATTCTAATATCCATATTTAATTTTTTAGATGAAGGTTCATACCAAGTATATAATAAGAATATTTTTAGAGCACCAAAAGCATGTTGTATTATACCACCAAAGGTTTTAGTTGTAATATTTGGTTTCACACATTTTTTAATTTTTAATGCAGGAATGGTTTTAGAAACTTTAATTATACCGTTTTTAACAGATGTTGGAGGAGTTAGTAGTTACAATTGGAATTTAACAAAAATATCATTGTTTTTCATGGGATTAGGTGTTTCTTGTGCAATCACTTTATTTGTCTCAAAAAAGATTACAGATCAAAGTTTATTACTCATAGGCAGTGTCATGCTAATGGTTGTAGGCTATGGTTTTATGATCGTTTGGAGCTTACCAGATTCCAAGATTGTAACAAACGTTGAAAATTTAGATCCACCATTAGTAAGATTCCTTTTGGGTGTTGTTTCAGTGGCCATTGGTTTCCCTCTTGCTGTTACAAGCTCCATCACATTGTTTTTCCAACTTTTCTCTGGTCAATCAAGTTCATTCTATTCAACCTTTTTCCAATTTGCGTCAAATTTTGGTAGATTATTAGGACCTGTTTGGGCTGCTTTAATTTTCTCCTATGTCAATTCAAACTTTACTTTCTTATTTGCTTTTATTTTATGTTTAGTCTCATTGTTTTTCTTAATTATTACGAAAAAGTAAGAAATTTCATTTATTATTTAATTTTAAAAAAATTTATATTAACCATTTATTTTTAATAATTTTAGATCAATTAGATATATAAATACAACAACAAGTCCAAAAAAAAATCCAATTATAAGTATAAATGACGAAGATGACAATAATCAATTTTAAAGTTTAATTTAATTAAAAAACTTTAATGATTAGGGATAAATTATTTAGTGTTAATATATAATAATAAACATATAGTTTTTTTTTTTTTTTTTTTTTAAAATAAAAAAAAAAATTATTTATTTGAAAAAAGCATAGTTATTCAGTTATTTTTACATTTTATTTTGGTCTAATAAATATAAAATATTGTTTTTATTTTTACAATACATAGATTAATTTTATTTTTTTAAACTTTTGAAATGATGTGTTTATCAACTGTTGATAGTTTTTGATAGGTATCGGATTGAACAACAAATGAGGGTGCCAAGAATAAAACATTTGGGAAATTCTTTTTGGTTATATCGAATGATCTGTCCCAGGCTCTATCAGTAATAATGAATTTGGTGTTTGTAGTTGGTTTGGTTGAAATAATACCCTTATAAGCAATAATTAATCTTGTAACACTTTTTCTTGATGCTTCATCCTTTAAACTAAGATAAAATTCGAATCCATCAAAAAATGATGGTAATGGTTTTAAAATATCTAAATTTAATAATGAAAAACAATTAATAATTAAATTAAATAAAAGAAATTTCTTTAAAAAAAAAAAACCTACATTCTTTACCTTTCAAATCTTTTAATTCACCTAAATTATTATTGGCTTTTGGAAGGTTATTGCTTGGTTTATTATATGCTATTGGTTTTTCATCATTATCTTCATCAGTATCACCTAAACTTGCTATTATATTATCCTTTGCACCATTTGCTTTTTCTTGAACTGTGCCCTTAATATTATTATTACTTTTTATTCTATCAAGTTCAGATTTTACCTCTTCAGCGGTCATCTGAATTGTATTACTTCTTTCAAATAATAAATCCTCATCAAACTCTTCAGCTTTTGGTGGCTTTGGTTTATATTTAATTGGTGGTGGTGAGGAGGAAGAGGATTTTTGTACATCATATTCTTCATTGTAATATTTATTTGGTCTATAAGATGAACTAGATTTATAACTACCTTGATTATCATCGCCGTCATTGTCATGATCGTTATTCTTTTTGTGGCTTGATTTTTGTTTTTTATGATGAGTGTTGTGGTGAATTTCGCCTTTTGGTTTATAGTGATAGGCTCTTTGAAGATAATCCAAGCCATCTTGAAGCAAATCATTGACGTTTTCTTTATCAAATACTATATCATCGGGGTCTCTGTCGGATTTTTCTGATGAAGAGAAGCTATTGTCAATGAATCCATCATTATAGTCGTACTCGTTTGGTATATGACTATCATCCTCGCTATCATCGGATGTTGGATCACCTTTTCTCTTTCTCTTTTTCTCTGTTGTACTAATACTTTTTCCAATTTTATCTTTTTTAGGAGTACTTTGTGTGGCCTCACTATTATTTGATCTAAAAGTATACTTTCCTATTGGTAATCTAGATTTTAATTTATAACAATCTTCGATCCAATCTGGATTTACAATTGAGCCACCTGCTTTCTTTGCTTCTTTAAACTTGGGGGTATTATCAAATGGTGTAACTAAATGAGTTGCTTCTCTGCACCAATCTGGTTTATACTCTGCACCCATTTCAATAGCTTTATCTCTTAACTCACCTTTTTGTGGATTAACTATACCACCAATTACCAAAACGACACCTTTCTAAATAATTATATTTTAAATTAGTAAAATAAAAACTTTTTATATATAAAACTATTTAAATATTATTACATACCAATAAATTACCAAATGAAGTAAGTTTCTTTTGTTGTTTTGGAGTTGAAAGTATTTGAAGATTATCGCCTTCTTGATCAGTTTCCCCATCATTTTCATTATTTACATTGTTTTGTTGTGTAATATTTTCTTTAATGTTTGATTTTAACTTCTTTTTTTTGAGTTGGTCTTGGTTAATTCTATCAGTTTTTTCCTCTTCATTTTCTTCTTCAGTTTCAATTTCAACAGTTTCAACCTTTTTAGTCTCCATTGAGACATCGGTACCACTATTATTAAGATTGTTATTATTACTACTATTTACAGTTGATTTTTTACTAATTATTAAAACTTGACCAGGTAAAGGATTATTTAAAGCTAAAGTTGCTCCTTTACTTATTTTCCCAAGATTACTGTTTCCTTTTGTAAGTTCAGCTGGTATAAAATTTAAAACTTGGGTAGAGTCGGTTTTGAACGCTGTTGGCTCTGTTTCAATGCTTGTATTTGTTGCTCTTGAATCATTTAAAGATGTATCTGTCATACTAATATTTTCAGGCTCTACGAGCTTTATGCTTGATGCTTGCTTTTTAACTGGACCATAAATTTTAATTGAACCTATACCTAAATTATCTAATGACCATGGTTGGGTGCACACTATTCTAATTCTCTCCCATTTTCTTGGTATTGTCTGTTGTGAAAATTGTTTACAATCAAATACTTTGGTTTTATTTCTGTTTACTTTATTTGTACTTTCGCTAAATGTCATAAAATTTGTTAATGGAACCAAAACTTGAAATTCAGTTGGCTCCCAAGTAACTAATCCAACTAAAATTTCGATAAACGCTGATCCTCCATTGGTAATTTCAATTTGCTTGATTTGTGTGGGTGATGGGAATTGTAACTCTATATATGCTTTATCAGTTTTATCTTTAGTTTGCCAAACTCTGTAGGTATCTTCTACTAAAACATTAATTGATTTATAATGTTCACTTTCAGATGAACAACTAGATACACTTGAATCTATTAATCTTAATGGTGGTTGTGTTGTAATACTATCACTATTTATTGGTAACATTATTATTTAATTTATTTAATTTAATTTTTTTAAGATTTATAAAAAAAAATAAAACAAAACTATAAACAATTAACTGTTATAGCTCTTTTAAAAATTTTTTTAAAAAAAATAATATTATCAAAAAAAAATTTAAAAAAAAATTTAAAAAAAAATTAATATATTTTTTTAAAAAAATCTATTTTCTTAGAAGCTTAAAATAAATAAAAATAAAACAAGATGAAAATTGGTTTGAAAAAATTTAAAGAAATATTTATTTTTTTGTTACTATTATTTTTTTTTTTTCTTTTTTTTTTTCTTATTTTATCACATAGCTTTTAAAGAAATTATTTAATTGAATAAATTGAAATTAAAAGCATTATTATTGTTATTATTATTGGTATTGGTATTGTTATTATTGGCGCCTGGTTTGTTATTAAAATTGTTGGTGTTGTTGTTGCTATTGTGTGAGGTATAATAATTTAAATCGATATTATAGTTTGGTTTGGTTGGGGTTGTTTGAGTTGGTGAAACAAATGAACCAAAATCACCGTTACTGGTAGTGGTGGCACCATTTGGTTGTCTTTTAGTTGGTGTTGGTGTTAAGGTGGTGGCATTCCAACCATCAAATGAATTTGTCGTTGTTGAATTTGATGTTGAGGATGAAACTGATGATGAAGAAACATTTAAATTACCAAATGATGAATTGAGTGAATTAATACCACCGTTGTTCATTGGTGTTGAGTTGAAATTTGATGTTGTTGGTCTCATACCCATACTTGTTGTAGAGCCATTAAAACCAAATGATTGATTTGATGATGTTGATGAATTTAATGAATTATTTATACTTCTATTATTCATATTATTCATATTATTCATATTATTCATACTATTCATATTGTTCATATTATTATTAATACTGTTTATATTGTTTATATTGTTATTATTATTATTATTATTATTATTTGAATGGGAAACAAATGAACCAAAATCGCTATCGTTGTCAAAAGTAAATGATTTGTTGTCACTTTCAAATGTAAATGATTTACCATTATTATTATTATTAATATTGTTATTATTGTTATTATTTTTATTGTTATTATTCATGTTATTTTGGTTTGAATTATTAAAGAGACCATTTGAACTATTATTTACACTATTATTATTACTATTTGAATTTTGGTTTTGTTGTGTTGGTACGATTGGTGTATTACCCCATGAATCAAAATCATCAAAAAGAGATGGAGTTGATCCTAAAGATTTGTTATTTGTGCTACTATTCATACCATTATTATTATTGCTATTAGGGATACTACCAGTACTATTGTGGATATTATTTGTATTATTAGATTTAATATCACTATTGTCTAAAATATCGAAAAGATTCTTTCTTGGATTTGTTGGAGTAGAATTTACGCTGCCACTGTAGTTGCTATTATTTAATTGAGTTGGGTTTGATGATGAAGAGTTTCTTAATGGTTGTGGAAAAGAGTTTGAAGATGATGAAGATCTAATATTAAAATTAACACTACTATTACCATTACTATTACCATTACTATTGTTATTATTATTGTTATTACTACTGCTATTATTATTATTAAAAGTTTGAAGACCTCTTCTTTGAGAACCTTTCATTTCTTGAATACGATCTAAAACATCTTGAATTGTTGGACGCTCTGATGGATCTGATACCAAGATGTATTCGATTAATTTGTGGAAGTTTGGTGAGAATTTTGAATTTTCTGGGATCTTATAATTTCCGTTGATGATATGAAGTGAACCGCCATCAAATGGATCACAATAGAATGCCATTTTGAATAATAAACAACCCAATGCCCAAATATCAACCCTTTCATTGATTACTGCTCCACGATAGAGATCGACCATTTCAGGTGCACGATAAAATAATGTTGTAAACATATTGATGTCATCTTCGGCTTTACCTCTTTCTTGATCACGGCTAGTGTTGAAAGTTTTGGATGTACTACTTCCAAAATCACATAATTTATAACGATTTGATTGTTGACATAATAAAACATTTTCAATCTTTAAATCTCTATGGGCTATTGGCGGTTGTTGTTGATGCATTGCTAAAAGACCGTTGCAAACATCTGAAAAAATTGAAAGAATTTCTCTTTCGTCCAATCTTGTATGTTCTCTTTGATTCATAATATCTAAAACACTACCACCACTGCAAAATTCCATTAACATTAAAACTTCAGTTTCTCTTGTATTTCTATTTTCAACTAATTTGTGAGCTTCTAATTTTACAATATTTGGATTTCCTCTTAATCTTTGCTTTTTTTTTTTTTTTTTTTTTTTTTATAAATGAAAATATTAATATCTAATTTTTTTTTTTTTTTTTTTTTTTGCTTTATTATATTCTTACCATAACATCGATTTCATTTTTTATTGCTTCCAATCTTTCACGCTCTTGAATAAACATTCTTTTCAATGCATATGTGTGATTGTAGTCGTCACGTACTAAATAAACAAAACCAAAACCACCTTCAGCCAATAACTTTATTTCTGTTAAACGTCTACCACCAACCTCATAGATTGCGCCGGTACGTCCACCAGTAATATTACCCCATACACTTCCAACATTATCTGAAATTGATTTTGAATTTATATTTGTAATTGCATCGCCTGCTGCTTCAATAAAATTTGATCCAAATTCGAAAAATCTATTCATTTTATTCTAAATATGGATACAAATATTTAATTTATTACTTTTTAAATATTATTTTACTATTACTATTTTATTATTACTAATTTATTATTCTAAAAAACACAACACAACAACAACAAGTTATTTTTCTATTATAATAGTAAATATTACACACAATAAAATATTTTATTGCAAAAAAATTAAAAAAAAAAAAAATTTTAAAAAAAATTTTTAAAAAAAAATTAAAAATAATATTTTAAAATCAAAAAAAAAAAAAAGATAAAAAAAAAAAAAACTGTAATATGGTTATTTCTACCAGTTTTTGAAATTATTATATTTTACATTTATACTCTTTTTTTAGAAAAGGATAAACTAAAAAAAAAAAAGATACTAAAATAGTGTTATTTGTTAAAATTCATTTAATTTTTTATTTTTTATTTTTTTTAATTTTTTTTCATTTTTTCATTTTTTTTTTAATTTTTTTAAATTATTTTATTTTTGTGAATTCACAAATTACAAATATATATATATTTTTTATTTTAAATATAAAAGATGTCAAATTTTAAAAGAGCGAGTGGCGATGTATATAATAGAAACTGGGTATTAGAAGCAGAAAAAGGATCAGGAGGATCTTTACAAAATACACCAGGAGGATTAAGTGCAATCGAGTCATCAACACCATCAGGAGTATCCTCTTCAGGCACATTCGTATCACAACAACCATCAACACAACAATCTATGGAATTAAAAGTTAAAAAAGGTTGGGAATTAGCTAAATCACCTGCTAAAAATATATTTATGACTGGTTTTTTCCTTTGGATGATTGGAAATGGTATAAATATTTTCACAATGCCCGTTATTATATATGCTGTCATTAATCCTGTTAAAGCAATTTTACAAACAAACTCAAGTAAGTAACAATACTCAATATTATAACTACCAAATAAAATTACTAACCTATAATTATTCATTCAGTGTTTTCAAGATTTGATGATTGTAAAAGAGATATTATACAAATGAAGATTACTTTTATAGCAATTCAACTAGTTTTACTTGGTGTTACTTTATATAAATGTAGTAGTATGGGCTTATTACCAATAACTCCATCCGATTGGATTTCCTCATTACCAATTAAAAAGGTAAGTTTATTTTTAATTAGTTGATCTACTTTTTTTCTTTTTACTAATCATATCATAACATTTATATTTTTAGAATGTTGAATTTTCAAGCGGTTCAGTTGTAATGTAAATAAATATTAAATATCCAAAAAATAACAAAAAAAAAAAACTATCAAATAAAATAATTAAATACATAACTGCTTTTGTAACTGTTTTTCTTATTTATTTATAATTTTTTTTTTTTTTTTTTTTTTTTTTTTCAAACAAAAAATTTTTAATTTTAATTTTTAATTTTTTTTTTTTTTTCAATTTTTTTCGTTTTTTTTTTATTTTTTTATATTAATTTAAAACACCCACACCACACCTCCTCGATTCGTATTATTTCTTTAATAGGAGTTTTATATTTTATTTTTCATTGTATTATAATAATTATTTTTTATTTTTTATTTTTTTATTAAAAGAAAAAAGAAAAAAAAGAAAAAAAAAATGTTAAGAACATCTAGTAGTCTTATTAACAAATTTAATAAAAACATAATTTTAACACCAACTTGCGGATTATATTCCAAATCTTTAAACAAAACAACAAAATTAAATTTTTCAACTAAAACAGATTCAAGCCTTAAAAACAATGATATAAATAACCAAAATAATAATAATAATAATAGTAATAACCAAAACAACAACAATAACAACAATAAAAAAAAAAGTAATAAGGGATTAATCTTTTTAGGTGCAACAGCTGTCACTATATTAGGTTTCTATGTATATTTTAAACAAAATGGATCCGAACCAAAGGTAATATTTCATATATATTTATATATTTATTTTGTACTTCTTTCGTTTCTATTATCCATTCTAATATTTATTTTTTATATTATAAAACCCGCTATCTCTTTTTCTGCCTATCTATATTCATACAAATTATTATTATTATATTAAAGCTTTATAGATTATTATGGACTTAATATATATTATTATTACAATAATGGGAAAAATAGAAGTAACATTAATAGTGATAATAATTATATAATATATAATAACTATATTTTTAATTATGATAATCCAGAAATAATTTTAGTTAGATTTGTTTTATTAATAGTTTTATTATTTTTAACCAATAAATATTTAATAAAGATCGAATTTGTAAAGAGAATCCCATTCCGTATAACATCAAATCTTTGGGGTAAAATGGCAGGTATTACAATTCCAGAAAGTTTAAGATCACCAATTTTCAAGAGTTATTCATATTTATTTGGTGTCAACATTGACGAAGCAGAAAAGCCAATCGAAGAATATCCAACTATGGGTGATTTCTTTGCTCGTCATTTAAAGAGCAATGCAAGACCAATTGATTCCAAAAGTGATATGGTATCACCAGTTGACGGAACTGTAATTTATCATGGTAAAGTTGAAAAGAACACTGTTGAGCAAGTTAAAGGTCTCACATATACATTAGAGCAATTCCTTGGTCCAGAAGAGTTGGAATCAATCAAAGGCAAAAATCTTTATCATATAGGTCTTTATTTATCACCAGGCGATTACCATGGTATTCATTCACCAGTAGATTGGAAGATTAAAAATCGTTATCACTTCCCAGGTTATTTATTCCCAGTTGCCAAAGTTGCCGTTGACAACATTCCAGGCTTATTCGCTATGAACGAACGTGTAGTTTTAACTGGTGCTTGGAAACATGGTTTTTATTCATTAACCCCAGTTGGCGCTTCAAATGTCGGAACCATTGTTTTAGACTTTGATAAAGATCTCCATTCAAACAATCAAAAAGACAATGCTTTAGATTTCGAAAAAAATACATACTATAAAAAGAATTATCAATCAATCATTCCATCTGGAAAAGGTGATGAAGTAGCTTTCTTTAGAATGGGTTCAACTGTTATTTTAATTTTTGAAGTCCCAGAAGGTAAAAAATTCGATTTCAACATTAATCCAGGTCAACATGTTAAATTTGGTGAATCAATGGGTAAATTAAACTAAAAAGTTAATAAAAACCAGTATTATTATAAATATTTATAAATTTAATAAAATTCTTAAAAAAATTTTTAAAAGAAAAAAAAAAAATCACACAAAAAAAAAAATTTCCTTTTTTGAACTTCATTCAGTATTTATTTATCTTTCTTTAAAAATTTGGGTCAAATAAAACAACACAGTTGTATTTTTAAAATACCAAATTTGAAATTTTATTTTATTGCAAGAAAATGACCCTTTTTGAACTTCATTTGTCAATAATTATTATTTTCAAAAAAAAATTAATCCAATTTTTTTTTTTTTTTTTTTTTTTTTTTTTAATTTTTTTTAATTTTTTTTTTTTTTTTGAAATTTTTTTTTAATTTTTTTTTAATTTTTTTTTAAATTTTTAAATTATTTTTGATATAAAAAAAAATTATATACAAATATATTTATATATATAATCTTATTTTTTAAGAAAAAAGGAATATTATATAAAAAGTAATCAGATAAATATCTATTAAATCTTTTTGTGTTTTTAATTATTTAATTTTTTATTTTGTGTAAATAATTGTTATATAAATAATTGTTATTTTTATATATAGAATAAATTCATATTCACCACCATTTATTATTTTCATTTCTTATTTTATCTATTAAAAAAAAGAATTGACTTTTATTCAATCTTTTTTTTTTTAAACAAATAAAACAAAAAATAAAATAATCTTCAAAAAAAAAAAAATATAAAATAATACACTTCACCAATCTTACTATATAGTCAGTAATAATAATATTATATTGTTAAATTTTTTTTTTAATAATAATATAATATAAATCTAATAACACACACATACATATATATATAATAAATGGCAACTAATAATAGTGAAACAATGGAATCACAAAAAAATAGTAGTAATGAAAATATAAATAATAACAACAATAATAATGATAAGCCTGATCAAGATTTAGACTCAGACAATGTCTTTAATAAATTAAATAAACTCTCATCCGAAAAATCATTTTATAAAACGTGGACACTTCAAAATAACAACCAAGAATCAGTAACAGAAAATGTAAATTCAATTAATAATCTCAGCTTTGTAATCGCAACTCAAATTAAAAATCTAATTTCTAATTTAACTAAAAAATCATATAAAGCAAATTCATCAGAGTTATCACAGGTAAGCAAATAGAATACTTTCATTATATATCATTGTATTATTAATACATACTAATATTGGTATTTTTATTTGATTTTTTTTTAGCTCATTAATCAATATGGTAGCCAAGCAGAAATATATATATTTAGAACTTTAGTCGATAGTATAGATTTTAAAAATATAACTACACCAAATACTACACCACCATCAACTACAGGTAGTACAACAGGTACAGCTACAGCAGGTGGATCAAGTGGCAGTCAATTAAGAGTACAACTCTTCAAAGAGGAATTTTCAAGACTTACAAAACAACCACATTTTATTAGCGTTCTTTGTAAAGCATTCGACGGTTACGAAAATTTAAATATTGAATTCTTTGGTCACTTTTCATCAACATTGAAATTAAACCCATCTCACGAAATCATGCTTGGTCTTGCTCTTTCTCAGTCATTGGATAAATCAGTTCGTGAACAGGCCGATAAATTCTTATTAAATACATTAACTCAATTATCACAATCAAATACTAAATCATTACCGGAAAATTTATTACACCAATTACTTTATAAATTTAAAATCCAAGAAACTCAACAACAACAATTACAACAACCAACTCAACAATACAATGATATTATAAAATATCTTCAATCCATTTCACCAGCAAATTCATTAGCTCTCTCACCATTGGTCGATGATCAAAATATACCAAACTCCAAAAGATTACAACAAGACAACCCAACTTATGTAAATTCTATAATCTCCAAAGTGTCACAACAAAATGTTCCTTACCAAATAATCTTTAGTATAGGGTTCTCCAGTTGCTCCTCTGCTGCTACTCTCAAAGATATATTGTTCCAATTCCCCAAACTAACTGAGTCCGACATTGCTCATATATTAATTTCAATGGCAGATTTAACATCACAGCAACCAAACAATAATAACAATTCAATTCCATATTTAACTTTTAGCGACTTAAATAAAAATAATAATAGCAGTGGCTCACCATCAACCTCTGCACCAACTTCACCATCAACTTCAACATCAACTTCAACATCAACAACAGCAGCAGCATCATCCGAAGAATGGAATATTCCAATTTTTGTTGAGGTTGTTAAAGAATTGTATCCAAATATTGATTGGGATATTGTAATTAGAGAGTTAGACTGTCCTGTATTTAACCTTTATGATTTACGTGGTTTGGCATTTATTTTGGCTGTTTATAATAAAGCAACCAATACCACCGATCAATTCCCAATCGATTTTATACTCGATAGAATTTGGATTAATTCATTAGGTCAAATTCAATTCTTAAAGATTGCAATTCAATCAGATTTCTTCCCATTCTTTTTGTCACAAAAGAAGAAAGTTGACGATGCTGTTTTAGGCAAAGCACCACCTTCAATTACTCATTGGAATTCTTTATCATTATATGAAACTTTATTCCAATTATCAGAAATTGACCAAGAACATTACCAAAAAGTCAATCCATTATTTGAATTCCCAATTAGAAATTGTCCAGATTTATTGCTTTTAGGTGTTTCCTCAATAGTAAGTATATTTTTTTATGATTGGTTAAATTTCTAAAATCAAATTATTAATATTTTTTTATTTATTTTTTAATAGACATTAAAAAATAATAGATTACAAAATGAATTATTATATCATTTGTTTAACACTTTATTACAATCACATAACTATCAATCAATTATTTCACAACTTTGGAAAGACCATCCACAAAATGTAGTTCAAATTATGTCGGATATATACCAAAAAGATCCAAAAGAATTATCTAGATTTTTAGATATTGCCCAAGAGCTTAAGGTAAGTTTTAGATATTAAATATATAAATCCAAATTGTTGGTTAATATTAATTATTATTTCTTTTTTTTTTTTTTTTTAGATTTTAAGACCAATGCTTTACTGTAAAACCTACCCATTTATTATTAATTTAGCACTTTTAGCTTCGCAAAGAGAATATTTATTTTTAGAAAGATGGATACAAGAAAGAATGAAAGAAGATGATCATTCTTTTGTACAAGCCTGTGTATCATTTTTATCTGATCGTATTGCAAAGAGATTAAAAGAACAACAACAGCCAAACGATCAAGCAACATCAACTTTAAATCAACCAATTCCACTCTCAAATACTGTACTTTTATCTCTCCACAAATCTTTAACTGACCTTTCTGATCAAATTTCACAAAAGCACCCAGAATTAGTTAATGAACTCAAACAACTTGGTCCTCAACTTCAAAGTACTGAAGAACCAACCGAAAGAAGATTCTTACCAGAGGTAGAAGAAGAAACAAATTCTTACTTTATTAAGTTATATTCTGGTGACATGACTGTTGATCAAATCATTTCAATATTAAAAGAATATAAGGTCTCAAAGAATCAAAAGTAAGTTTAAATTAATTTATTATGTTAATTTTTTTGTGCTTGTGTGTTATTAAAATTATTGCGCGCTCTTCAAAAAATTTAAAATTTTTTTTTTTTTTTAAACAAGTATTAATATAAAATTTTATTATTATTTAGGGATCAAGATATATTCAGATGCTTATTATTCAATTTGTTTGATGAATATAAATTTTTATCAGATTATCCAGATAAAGAATTAAAGATCACCGGTGTTTTATTTGGGTCATTAATTAAAAATTTATTAATTTCATCACAACCATTACGTGTTGCCTTAAAATATGTCTTGGAAGCTTTAAGATTCCCAATCAAGAGTAATATGTTTGTTTTTGGTTTTAATGCTCTTATATCTTTCCCAAATAGATTAGCCGAATGGCCACAATACTGGGCCCAAATTTGTAGTATCGACCACTTTAGAGAAAATTATGGTGATATGATTTCTGCTATCAATCGTATGATTGACTCTTCTGAGACAACTAAGCAACCAGAGTTCCATAAATCAGCCAACTCCCCACCAGCTACCACAATTTTATCATCACAACAAATTCAAGATGCTGAAAATTTCACTTTTGATTCAAATAATGCAGATTTAAGTGATCATCCAGGTTTAGATCAACAAATACCAACCCAACAAATACAACAACAACAACAACAACAACAGCAACAGCAACAAAAATTAAAGAAAGAAAATAAACAACAAAAACCAAATAAAACACATCAACCAAATAATACAAATGATGAAGATGCTTTTAGTACATCAATTCCATTGGGAACTTTGTTAAGTGCTACCAAAGAAATCATTCAACCAGATGACGCAGTTAAAGATAAAATCTATTTTATCATTAATAACATCTCTCAGCACAATTTAGATCAAAAAGCTAAGGACCTCAGAGACATTCTTAGACCTGAGTTCTATGATTTCTTTTCCCAATATTTGGTTGTAAAGAGAGTTAGTATCGAAGCTAATTTCCATGCTCTCTATTTGGCTTTTATTGACCGTCTTGCTATTCCAACCATCTCTGAAAAAATTTTATATTTTTCACAACAAAATATTCATACTCTTTTGAAATCAGAAAAGATTCGTGGTGATCACAGCGAAAGATCACTTTTGAAGAATCTTGGTGGTTGGTTAGGTTTGAACACTCTTGCTAGAAACAAACCATTGCTCCAAAAAGTAATCTCTCCAAAAGATCTTTTGATCTATGCCGCTGAAAATGGCCTTTTAGTTGCTATAGTACCATTTGTCTCAAAACTTTTGGAATATTGCCAACAATCTAAAGTATTCAAACCACCAAATCCATGGGTTATGGCTATCGTTCGTTTAATGTTAGAAATCTATAATCTCAAAGATTCAAAGAACAATATTAAATTTGAAATAGAATTATTGTTTAATAATTTAAAGATCGAATTTAGTGATGTTACACCAAGCACAATTTTAGCCGAGCGTAGAATTCAACGTGAAATGGAACAACATACCCAACAAGACGACACTACAAGAAAGGATAAATCTCAATCATCTTTAGATCTTCTTCAAAATCTTCCACGTTATTTAGTATACAACACCTCGCTAGGAGTCTATGCTCAATCACCAATCTTTAAGAAAGCCACTCCACTCGCCTTTGAAAAAGCAATCCGTGAAATTATTGGTCCAGTAGTCGAACGTTCTGTTGCTATCTCTGTAATTACATCTAAAGAATTGGTCAGCAAAGATTTTGCTACAGAAGCTGATGAAACTAAGATGAGAAGAGCTGCCCATTTAATGGTTCAAAACTTGGCAGGTAGTTTAGCCTTGGTTACTTGTAAAGATCCACTTCGTGTTAGTATTACTGCATACTTAAAAACTTTACTTCAAAATAATAATAGCCTCCCACCAAGTGATGTACCACTCGATGTTGCTGTTTCTGTTGTTTGCAATGACAATTTAGATTTTGGTTGTACTATTATCGAAACAGCAGCTAAAGAAAAAGCTATTGTTGCCATTGATGAAGTTTTAACTTCAAGCTATAATGACCGTCTCAAGCACAAAGAACAAATGGGCCAACAACCATTCTATGATATGGGTTATCTTACAACATCAATCTACCACACTCTTCCAGATAGTCTTAGACCAAAACCAGGAGGTATTCAACCAGATCAATTCCGTGTTTATGAAGACTTTACCAATCTTTCACATCACGTTAATATTGGTAATGTTAATTCAGTCGAAGGTGCCACTGCTGCTCCTGATCAAACCAATCAAGCTACTGATTTGTTCCTTGGTCAAAACTATAAAGCAAACACTCAAGCTCAACAGGCCCAAATCCAACAACAACAATTGTTACAACAACAACAATTATTACAACAACAAATGTTACAACAACAACAAGCTCAACATCAAGCTCAACAAATGCAACAAAGCCAACAAAACCAACAAATGATTCAACCAAACCAAATGGTACCAAATAATGAATTAACCGAAAAATTCATAATGCTAATGAACGAAGTAGAAAAGGTTGTTATTAGAATTTTAAGCCAAAATCAAAATGTTGAATTAGAACTCCTTTATACAGTTTCTCAACAAATTCTTTTATTAGTTCGTGTATCACCAAACCAATCTGAATTATTAGCTGGATTTGCTCAAAAGATTGTTGCTCGTTTAGTTGACCCAGAAAAAAAACCACTCTACGAAGTTTATTTTGAACTTTTAGAGGTATTCCGTGATTGGGATCAAAAAGTAATTACCACAATCACTTCATTTGTTTTATTCTCAAGTCCAGATAAAAAACTCAATCGTATTTTAATTGCAGGTCTAATTATTCATCAATTAATCAATGTAAACGAATATGATTTAGCTCTTTCAAAGATGTTAGTCGACACACGTAACTCTTCATCAATCGATTTTGCTATTAGTTTAATTCGTTTCTGTCTTGTTGAAAACAACTATGCAAATATATCAGAATTCCCATCTACTCTCGATTTACTTCAAAAGATTGCTGTTAGATCACCAAATGAAATTTTGGTTAAAACTTTTGATGATATCAAGAACAATCCAAAGGAAGATAAGAAACGTAGAATCTCTCGTATTCGTCAAGAAGATATGATTGCCGATCCACCAGGACTTAAAGAAGCTGTCATTGCATTACTCCAAGATTGGTTAGTTTTCTCATCAACAAACAACGATCAAAAAATTCTTGTTCAATACCTCGGTCAAGTTTTACAAATTAGCTTTATGAAGAATGAATTATACTTTATCAAATTCTTTAGATTAGGTGTTGAATATTCATTAGAAAGATATCAAGCAAACTTTGAAACCAACTCTCCACAATATCTCGAAATTGATTCATGGTGCAGATTTGTTGTTTTAATGATCAAGCATGCCGACCCAACAAAACTTAATATGTTAACCAAAGTATTAAGTGTTCTCATCAAGACTCTTACAAAAGATTATGAAAGTAACCCAACCAGATTCAATCAACGTCCATACTTAAGAATCTTTGAAAATCTTATTGTAGATCTTACATCACCAGATCCAGTTCTTGAACCATATATCAATCATATCCTCTTTTGTTTTGTTAATGCTCTTGCAACTCTTCAACCACAAAAGTATCCTGGTTTCTGTTTTGCTTGGTTAGATTTACTTTCCCACAAATCATTCATGCCAAAATTATTACATCGTCAACAAAGACAATGGTTCCACGCTCTTCTTTGCCAACACTTCAAATTTATGGAGCCATTCCTTCGTAATCCATCAGATTTATCAAATCCAACCCGTATTCTTTATAGAGGCACTCTCAAGGTATTACTTGTTCTTCTCCATGATTTCCCAGAATTTTTATGTGAATATCATTTCAGTTTATGCGATGTAATTCCAGCCAGTTGTGTCCAACTTCGTAATATTATTCTTTCAGCTTTCCCAAGAAATATGAGATTACCAGATCCATTCACTCTTAAAATGAAAATCGATTCACTTCCAGATATCGCTCAACCACCAAAGATCCTTTCAAATTATACAGCTGGTCTCAAAAACTTAAAGAATGAAGTCGATGTTTACTTAAAGACCAGAGGTCCATACTCATTCCTTACCGATCTTAAATCAAAGGTTACCCTCACCGATAAAGAAGAAATTTTAGTTAATGGTTCAAAATATAATATTCAAATGATCAATTCATTAGTTCTTTACCTTGGTACTATGGCAATCCCAACTCTCCAAAGTAAGAATGGTCCACTCACACCACAACATTCTGCTCCAATGGATATCTTCCATCGTTTAGCTCTCGATTTAGATTGCGAAGGTCGTTATATTTTCTTAAATGCAATTGCTAATCAACTTCGTTATCCAAACAGTCACACTCATTACTTTAGCTGTGTTCTTTTATTCCTCTTCTCTGAATGTAATTCCGAAATCGTTAAAGAACAAATCACCAGAGTATTATTAGAAAGATTAATTAGCAGCAAACCACATCCATGGGGTTTGTTAGTCACTTTTATCGAATTGATAAAAAATATTCGTTTCAACTTTTGGTCTCACGCATTCACCAAAATTGCACCAGAAATTTCAAAATTATTTGATTCAGTTGCTAAAAGTTGTTTAAGTAGAGAACAACAATAAAAAAAAATAATAATAAATATAAATTAAAATAAAAATAATAGTAATCAATAAATTTAAAAATATATTTTTTTTTTTTTCAGTCATTTAACTTATTTTTTTATTTACTTTACTTCAATTTGTTTAATATTAAATAATAAATAAAACTCTATTTTTAATGGGGTGTGTCAGATTTATCTTATCCTTATAGGAATTGCAATTGCATTTTTTTGAATTTGTATTTTTAAATTTGCATAACCAGCTAAGCAAAATTTTTTTATTTTTATTTTTATTTTTTTTTTTTTAAAATTTTTCATTTTTTTAATTTATTTTTATATTTTTTTTTTTTGTTGATTATTGTTTTTCTTTGTTCAATTGTATAATATGATTTTTCGTAATAGTACAAATATAATCATAATATCCTCTAATAATAAATACAGTCAATATTATAATAAAATAAAGCTCTTAATGGTTTTAAAAATAAAAATATAAATGATATATTTATAAAATATAAAAATAAAACAATTAATATAAATAATATAATAATATAATAATATAATTTAAATAATATAAATAACAGAAAATGACAAGTTTTAATAATTTATTTAATTCACAAGATGACGATGAAGATAGAGCTAAAAACAGTAATCCATTATCATCATCATCGATGATACCAAGAAATCGAAAACTAAGTGACCCATCAGCATATAATAATAGTAATAGTAATAATGACAGTAGTAGTATAAATATAGAACAGGACGATATATTAGATAATCATCAAAGCCCGAATAATAGTAGAAATGATATACAGCACCTTTATTTTGAATCTTCTTCAAACTCAATGTCATTAAACGAAAGTAATGAAAAAGATATAGACGAGAATAATAATAATAATAATAATACAGCGACAACTAATATTAAAGATAATTTATTAAATAATTTTATAAATAATAATAAATCACAGTTTGGTAACAGTAGTGATAATTCATTTACCAATACAAATATTAATAAAAAGAAAACAAGAATATCAAATCGTAATTTAATGTTTTGGGTATCATTAATTTTAACAATAACGCAAGTTTTAGGTATATTTATGTTTTCTCAAGGTTTTTTCCCAAGAAAAACTTCATTGCAAGGTTATAATTCATTTGATAACTATGAAAATTCATGTACCGACGGTAATATTCAAGTTGAACCACAGTTTGGTAAAATGGTATTCATGGTAGTAGATGCATTTAGAAGTAGCTTCTTATTTGGTGAAGATCAATTGGGAATGAATTTCACACGTTCATTAATTGATAGTGGTAGAGCTCATGCTTATATTGCTAGAGCTGATGCTCCTACTGTAACATTACCAAGAGTTAAAGCACTGGTTAGTGGCGGCATTCCTAGTTTTGTAGATTTTATAAACAATTTCAATAGTAAAACTTTGACTGATGATAATCTACTACATCAATTAAAAAATTCAAATAGATCAATGCTATTCTTTGGTGATGACACATGGTTAAAATTATTCCCTGACCATTTTAAAAGATTTGATGGTACAACAAGTTTTTATGTTGCCGTAAGTTAATATATTATATAATAATAAATTTAATATTATTATATTTGTAGATACTAATATAAAATTAAAAAATATTAAATACTGTAGGATACAGTCGAAGTTGATAATAATGTTACTAGACACCTAAACGAACTAGATAATAATGATTGGGATACAATGTTTTTACACTATTTAGGATTGGATCATATTGGTCATTTAGAAGGTCCACATAGCGATTTAATGAAACCTAAACAAGAGGAAATGGATGGAATTATTAAAACTATACATACCAAAATTTTAGAAAGAGATAGATTAGAAATGGAAAGTTATAAGAGTAAAAAATTAAATAGCAGCGATGATAATAGTAATAACAAAAATAATAATAGCGAATCAAAACCACCTTTACCAACTTTATTTGTTTTTTGTAGTGATCATGGTATGAACGAAATTGGCAACCATGGTGGATCTTCAGAAGGTGAAACCTCATCAGTTTTAGTATTTATGAGCTCACTATACTATAACCAAAATGATTTAATTGTAGATCATAACAATAACCATCATTCAAATTTAGAAAAAACAATAAATAAAATTCAAGAAAATAACACAAACAATAAAGATGAAAGTAAAACAAATAACACTAATAATAATGCCAATAATAATACTAATGATAATACCAAAAATAAGAATAGTAATAATAGCAATATAAATGATAATGATGAAGAGTTTATCAGTCACGAATCAGTTAATCAAGGTAGAAGTGATGTGCATTACTATGATCAAGATTTAATACCAAAGTTTCCCAAAGGCGAGCCACCAAAAAAAGTAGACCAAGTAGATTTAGTCCCAACCTTATCATTATTATTAAATCTACCTATCCCAAAGAATAGTTTGGGTAGTTTAATTCCAGAGTTATTTGAACAATACTTACCAAATGAACAGTACTTAAGAGCTTTGGAAATTAACTGTCAACAACAAATTGAAATTATTAAGCATAATTCAATATTTTGGAAAGATGGTGCACCAACAAATCAAAATGTAGCAAATCTAATTAAATTATTTTCAGATGCTCAACAATATCATAGCAGCTTTACCATTTCACCATCTCATACAAATTTTAACCAAAACGCCGCCGATCTATATCTAGAATTCCTTTCAAAAGTTCAAGATCAATTTAAATCACTTTTAACCACATTTGATGTAAATCTCTTAGTCATAGGTGTCTTATTAATTGGGTCATCAGCTTTGGTAACATTATTAATTGCAGTTTCTTCAATTTCGTTAGGTGATAGTAATAGTAGTGGTTTTTCACTCAAAGGTATTAAATTTGTAATTGGGTTTGTTTTATTAATAATAATAATATTCATAGTTCATTTTTTTACAGTTTGTAATAATATAAATAATATCAATAATAATACACACAACAATGATTATCGACAACAAGATAATAATAATTATGAACAGAACCAAGCCCAACAAAATTCAACACAACAAAAAGAAATTGATAATATATTTTGTAAAAATGAGTTCCGTTATAGCATTTTTAGTTTTATTTTTACAGTTTTATGTTTATTAGTCGGATTTAATGCATTCACATCAAAAAGTGTTAACAAGCTATGGAGCCTACCATCATCAATCCAACAAAGAAAAGAAAAATATCTTATTATAGCCGGTACCATCTTACATTTAATTAGTTTATTTGGTAGTTCTTTGGTAGAGGAAGAGCATCTTACTTGGTATTTCTTTACAACTACTGTGATAATTTTGCAACTTATACCACATACTCTTAGTTTCTTTGTGTATTTAACAAGCTGGATATCCCAACGTACCAATACAAGTAAACAAAACTCTTCAAGTCTTCGTCAATTGGCTATATTACTAACTGTTTTAGTGTGCCTCAGAATTTTTAGAATCTGGAACCAAACAGGTATTAAATGGATGGATGATAATTCGTTAAACGAGTACACATATATTGATTTTGGCAGATTTTTAAACTCTCAAACCACCTTTGGTACCGTTACAATGTGGATATTATCAGTCATTAGTATTATTGCCCCATGCTACTATTCTTTTGGCCTTTTAGATGACCTCAGAGACCAGCGTAGTGGTATTTCACCCATTTTATCCAACACTTACAAGTTTACAATAGTCGTAATGTCTGCATTCTTATTTTGCTACAAGTGGGAATATATTTCTAAAGATCTTATCAACCCTGCCTATATCGCCAGAATTGTTTATTTGGGTTTCTTTACTTTAAGTGCCATTACCTTTGGTTTCCCATTCTTCACAAAAAAAGATAGACTCCAACAGCAACAGCAAAATCTCGCCTCAGGTTGGTTTATTACAACTCTCAAATTTCTACCAACTCTTGTTGTAATTAATTTCTCGATGCTCTTTTTACTCTTACATAAAGTTCATAATATGTTTTTAATAACTTTAATGGGTACAATTGCCCATTTTTATATTGAACACCTTTTAGAGGATACCGGAAAAAGATCTAAAAGTGGTATGGTTGGAGTCTGCGTTGGTATACTGTGTCTAAATTGGCTTGGTAAATTTGGCTATTTCGCATTTGGCAACTCAAACTCATTGGCTAGTATTGATATCTCTGGTAGCTATACAGCCCTAATCGACTACAATCAATATTTGGTTGGAATTCAAACACTATTGATCGGCTACACATCTCAGCTATTTTTCTTCTTTGTTACAATTGTATATACAACTCATTTAGCTATCAAATCCATTAGCAGTAATAATCATCAAGAACCTTCACTTTTATCAACACCAGGCTCAGCAAATGATATTATCGATGAGTTTCAATGGTATAGCGTTGTGGGTGGTCTATTAGATTGCGGTATTAGATGGACCAATGTATTTATGTTTAGTATTGTCATCCTAATTCAACGTTATCATCTATTTATCTGGACTGTTTTCTCGCCCAAATATATCTACGAAGTATTAGATGTCATTTTGGTTTTGCTCAAGATATTTTTAATGGCCGCATATATAATTTATTTTAAATTTTTATTATATATTAAAGAAAAAGCTGGTGAAAATGTTTTATTACTTTCATCATCTCAAAATATCAATAAGGAAGAATAATTTAAACCACATAAAAATAAAATAAAAATAAAAATTAAGAAATTAAATTTAAGGTTGCACAACAAAAAATTGGTTTTTTTTTTTATAATAAAACAAATATAAATTAGATTTTTTATTACAAGGGGATCTTTAAGATAAAAATAATAATTTCAATATAATATGTAATCTTGATAACTAACAATACTACTGAAACGGTAAATCCCCCCTTTCAGGTGAAGGATAATTGGTGTAAATCAATGTAAAAAAACATTATGATCTTTTAGAAAAAAATTATAATAAGAATATTAATCTACCCAAATCTCTGTTTAATTAAAATTTTATAATATTTCGTAAATAATAAAGAATTAAATAAATATAAATCTAATAGATCGTCTCTAAACAAAAAAAAATATATTTGGTGATTGTTAAACAAAAAATAGTTTTTTATAAAATAATTAAAAAATCATTTTTGTAATTTTATATATTTTTATTATTTTATAAAAAAAATTTTGGTTATAAAAATAAAAGAAATTATTATTCCTTTATTCAAATTTAAAAATAAACTAGAAAATGGGGTTTTATAGAGTTACAAGTTTTGTTCAATATAGTCAATTAAAGAAACATCATTCAGTTGTAGTTTTTTTTTGTAATTCCTCAGTTTTATCTCATAAAATAGAAGATTTTCTAAAGAAATGGGCATTTGAAAACCCGGGCTCCGATATTAACCTTCTTGTTGTTAATGTTCACCTTTTTCATGATGTAAAAGATGTTAAAACAGTTACTTCCGTCCCAACCACCAGATCATATAAAAAAGGAATAATAATAGGTGAATATATTGGATCTTCAGAACCATCAATAATAAATCTAATTAAAGCAAATTTAAATATTAAATAAAACTTTTTATTTTTATACACTATTGTTTTTATAAAACTATAATTATTTTTAAATAAATAAATTATAATTTTTTATTTTACATTTTATTTATATATATTTAAATTATTATTATTCCATTTCTAACAAACTACTTGATAAATTTTGTTTTAATAACTTGGCTTGGCAATTTGAAAAAGACTTTTCGATAAAACTAAGGAAATAATCAATTTTACCATTTGGTGGCAAAAGATGAAGGAATGAGTCTGGATCTAAAACTTCACTTAAATGACTGAGGAGTTGTTCATACTCGTAAACAATGGTTTCTTTTTCTTTTGTTAGACTTTTATCTACCAATTGATATTTCTTTAAAACTGAGTCTAAAACAATCGACCAATCAGAAAGCTCTTTACAGAAATGAAGAGAATAATCCAAAATTACTGATATACTATTATTTAAAACTAATTCGATTGCTTCTTTAATTTGGCCCAATAATGGTAAACAAGCAAGCTTTAATGATAATAGCATTATATTTGATTGATCTTCATTGAAAATGTTTTCGATATTATCCATAAATTCAAAATCTTTGATGATATTAATTGATAGAATTGATTGAAGCTTTCTATAGTAAAATGATTTTAATAAATAGCCGACTTCATTTTGAGCGGATGGGTTATAGTTGTTTCCTGTTGAAAATGGTGGTAGTTTTGATAACCATTGTGGGATATTTAAAAATGAATTAAAATGGAATGATATCCACTGGTTACAATAAATATTTTGTGGTTGTGTTGGTTGTGGTAGTTGTTGCTGGCTCGATTTAATATTTCTTTGTTGTTGTGGTGATGCTTTTTGCTGGAGATGGTGACCTTTATTTAAAATTGATTTTACATCTAGATTTAAAGAGTGGAATAATTGTTCATCCTCACCTACAAATCTTTGAATATCTTTTACATAGAGATGAAGTAAATATTTAATAAATGATGGAACAAGGTCTTGATGTGAAAAAGAATTGGAATTTGAAAAAACCTGTTGTTGATTTGTTGTTGAGGCTGATTGTTGTAAACAACTATTGCTATTATTGCTATTATTATTTAATTTATTTTTATTTGATTGTTGTTGCTGCTGTTGTGATTTGAAGTTGTTAAATAAAAACCATTCTAAATAAATTTTAATTAAAAGTGAATCTAAATCGTAGTTATCTTTGTGATAAGAAATTGGATAATCTAAAATACCAGTTTCAAAAGTATCTGAAGATTTTAACAGTATTTTTAAACCAAATTCGGGTGTAATTTCTTTTTGAATAACTAATTGTATGGTAATTTCTAATAAACCCCATGGTGTTGATTTTCTTAATATTTTACAAAGATGTTCTGTTGGTTCACTTTCACCTGGTGGAGCTAAAAGCTTTGGATTCTTTAAACAAAGATTAATTAGAGCTTCGGTTGGAATTTCGTTGAATGAATCTATAGTATTTTGGAATTTATTTTGATCCAAGTATAATAAACCTAGTGCAAAATATACCCTGTTTTTACCTTCAGAATCAAAATCACCCTTCTCTGCAATTTCCCTCAATAATTGAATTGCTAATTCTTGTGAATATGACGATATGGATGACTCTAAAATTAAAAGGGGTAATCTATGTGGACTATTTACAAAATAATGATTTAAAATTTTATCTGATAGTTCTTCTTTATTCAATAATACTTCATAAGACTAAAATGATAATAATAAATTATAGTTGGTAAATAAATTATAATATATAGTACTGTACACTTTTTAAATAAAAATACATACATTTGGGTCATATAAAACATTTTCTAAATAGTAAATTAATGATAGATGTGATTTCTGGTCTTTAACTAGCATTTCAAAAACAGTTTCGATTTCTGTATCACTTGAACTATACCATAAAGCAGCTCTCATATAATCGTGTTGAATTTCTGGGTCGTCAGATTCGTAGGTTGCAGATCTTTTATAAAAGAACTCGCCCAAATAAGATGATGATCTTTTTAAAAGTAATTGATAATTCTTTCTCTCAATACCGAAATTCATTAATGATGCCATATCGTTCATTTTAATTGAAGAGGTATGTTGATTTGCAAGCTTTGATTGTAAAAGAAAATGACCCTCTAATAAAAGCTTGTGGTAAACTTCATCATTACTTTCCTTGTATTTAATGGCGTATTGTAAGATATCATTATAGAGTGTTTGAAGAGGTGTGTGACGAATTAAATATAAACCCCAAAGTGTTGTATCTTCATTCACTATTAATTTTGGTTCTGGTTGTTTACTTTTTGGATTTGGTGAGAGTGGTTTTGATGGTGATTTCATAAGATTTGAAATTTTGTTGTTGGTTGCAATATGACTAGTGTTATGTTTTGAAAGAATTAATAAATGGTCACCTGCAACTGCACCTTTAGTTAAATATGGGAAATATTGAAGACCAAGACCGCATGGTGGTGGAACGTCACCATCATTAGCACCTTCACAAGATCTTAATGTCCATGTTTGTAAGCCTTCAGTGGTGATAGTATATAAAAATGATTGACTTGCAAAGCATGATACTGTTTCATTTGCATAGTTATAGGCTGAAAGTTTTGATGGTTTACTGATATTATATACATAACCCGATGATGAAGTTGATACTACACACCTCATATAAAGATTTTTAACATTTGCATGTGGGTTATTAATTGTGCTACTACTAATTATATTATTGTTACCATTACTACTAATGATTATATTTGCTGTGCTGTTATTTGATAAATAAGAATTACCAAGGTTACTATTGGATCTACTTTTATTTAATTTTGATGATGAAATAGAGGAGCTTGATTGAATATTCATTTGTCCAATTGATTTATTTCTATGAGTTGCTATGGGTGATTTATTGCTAGTAGGTGTTGGGGCTGGTGTACTATTATCTGGTTCTAAAAGTATTGAATTATTTGATGATGCGTCTGGTAATAAAAAAATTGTGTGAATTTCATCATCTTTATGAAATCTTTTGCTTAATAAAAGGGTTGATGCTAATAAAGTAAAACCTGATTCTGAATTTACATTTATACCATGTTCAATGTCACTAATTGGTCCAAATACTTCCACCTCTTCGCTAATGCCATTACTATTTCTATTGGATGAACCTTTTATTTCTAATGTTGATAATTGATTTTTACCTGTTGGATTACCATCTTGATCGAATGTGACTTCAAAATAATGTTCATCCTCAATAATTTCTGATGGTCCATTCTGTTTTTTTAAACAAAGAAATATTAATATTTTTTTTTTTTTTTTTTTTTTTTAAATTTATAAAACTGATTCTTACATTCACAGTTAATTGCTTTTGTATATTATTTTTATTGGTATTATCAAAATTATGAAACAATTGATTGTTTTGCTGTTGCTGTTGTTGCTTTTGTTGTTGCTGCTGTTGCTGTTGTTTTGACAAATCTGAAAATGGGTCTCTATATGATAATGATAATGATAAAACTTTTGCTTCATTTAAAGTTGCATAGGCTAAATAATTTTCATAGATACCAACTTGTGTAACACCTTTAATATGAATATCTAAAATCTTTTCGAAATAATTTAGTAATGGATAATTTTGATAAACTGCAGTCCAAATGCTAACAGATGAATCTGTTGAAACAATAACACGACTTGTAATCGGACATGACGAAATCGATACTACACTCGATGGTACTGGAATTTTGGTAACATTTAAAACCAATGATGCTAAATTTGAGGTGCTATTGCTATGAGTGCTGCTATTACCATCGTGAAAACTATCTACCATACTTGGACTTGAAGACAATGGACTACCATCCTCTAATAATTGTGGTGATGAATAATTTTGATTTGATAATCTCCAATTCTGATATATTCTAACAACACCAATTTCCCCATCTTTTTCCAATGTTAAAATTGAATCATTTGATGCTATATAATTTATTGATTTAATCACTTGATTCTGTGTATTAAATCTATTCAATACAGTGCATTCGTTTGTTGCATTTATACTGTAATGAATAATTTCACCACTCTTTGTTGAAATTAAAAAATCGTTTAATGCTGGTATAACATCAATTGGTTCGTTAACTTCATCTGATGGTAAACAATTTTGATGATTAAACAAATCAAATGATAAAAATTTCATTTTTCATTTAAATCATTAAAATTATTATTTTTATTCTATTATTATTATTTTTATTAAAAAAAAAAAAAAAAAAATATAATTAAAAAAATAATTTTAAAAAAAAAATAAAAAAAATCATTTTTTCATTTTTTTAAAAAAATTTTTTTTCAAAATAAAATTTCAAATAACTTTTCTCATTCATAGATATAATTAATTATTTATATATATATATAAATATATAAAACTTATAATGGATTCAATAATAATAAATTATCAATTAGCAAATATAATATATTTGTAATTTTAAATTTAAAAAATAAAAAAATTTTATTTGTTGTATTTTTTATTTTTGGAACTGTTTTTTTATTATTTCTTTTTTTTGCAATCTCGAAATATTTTGATATTTGTTGCCCAAATTATCATTTTAAAAAACTCCAAGGAGGTTTTTTTTATAAATCTATCTACCAGTTTTTGATTGCAAAAACGAAATTTAAAAAAAAAATAAAAATTAAAAAAAAATAAAAAATAAAAATATTATTGGTAACTTTGGAGCAAAGGGACAAAATAAAATTTTAATTTTAATATTATTATTTTATATTTTATATTTTATAATTTTTTTTTTTTTTTTTTTATACATTTTATTTATTTAATTTTTTTTTTTATTTTTTATCTAAATTTAACATTTTAATTTAACACTCACATTTTTTATTTTATTTTTTTATCACACATTATTTAAATATTTATATCACCAACACACTCACACTCTTTTTTTTTTATTGTTTTTTTTTTTTCTGTTAAATTCAAAATTAATAATAAACACACACCAACACTTATATTTAAATAAATTTGAATTTAAATAATATCAATTTTATTTTGTAATATTAAAAAATAATTTATTGTTAACAGACTTTTGTTATTTTAAAAGATTTATAATATTTCTTTCGTTTTGTTAATACATTAAAAAATAGTTCTTTATTTATATTTTACTTAGTAATATAATAGATAGTTTTAAACATGAGTAGTGTATGTATATTAGATTATATTTATATTAATAATAATAAAATAATTTAAACCTCCTTTTTTTTATTTATTTTTATTTTTTATTTTTAATAATTTATAATTATAAATAATTAATATTATATTCATTTTTCAATTTTCATTTTGTTTTTAATAAATTGTATATTGTTTTTTATAAACACAATCATATTAATTACTATTTTTATTAACTATAAAATTTATTTACATTTTTTTTTAAAATCAAATTAAAACAGATGGAATTTAACCCACCAAAAGACATGAAGCGTCTCCAAAAAAAGATGAATATCTTTGAAGGATCAACTCACATGCATAGAATTAATATTTTTAGACCAAATGTTAATATTAAAGATAACACAAACTCTATTACAATCACATTCGAATTACCAGGAATAAATAAAGACCATGTTTCAGTCGAAGTAACTAAAGATAACTCATTAGTAATCAGTGGTGAAAAGAAATCAAGATTATCATTTGATTCTATATCATCATTATCATCAACACAACAATCTACCAATACAAACAATAATACCAATAGCGCCAATGATTCTTCATCAACATCATCAACACCAACTATTCCATCCAATAATAACAATAGTAACAACAACAATACCACAACAACAACAATTAGAAAGTTTATTAGATCATTTAAATTACCAAATGGCACAGATCCATCTAAAATTAAAGCTTCAATGGATGATGGTTTATTAGTTATTGAAGTACCAAAAAGCTCAATCGAAACTGATAAAGTTAAAATACCCATTTTATCAAGATTATAATAAAAAAACAACAAAAAAAAAAAAAAAAAAAAAAAAAAAAAAAAAGCCAAATAACCCTTGTTTTTTTTTCCAAACATATAAACCCACCCTGGAAATGAGTTAAATAAAATAAGAAAAATTGGTTTTTTCCTCTTTTTTTTTTTTTAAAAAAAAAGTAATAAAATTATAATTTTTTTTTTTTTTTTTTTAGATAAATATCTGTTCTTTTGTATATTTATAATCATATCCTTCTTATGCATATGATCAAAATTATTTAGTAAAATTTTATTAAATATTTTTAAATTAATTTATATTATATCTATAAATTTAATTGTAGTTAAAATTATTTCCATTGTTATTAAAGTTATTAAAATTAAAATTGTTACCATTGTTATTAAACATATTATTATTATTATTATTATTATTATTGTTATTAAAATTTGGATTAAATTGGGTCATATTAAAATTGTTATTATTGTTATTAAATGAATTGAAATTGCCATTGCTAGTGTTATTATTAAAATTTAAATTATTGCTACCAAAATTATTATTAAAACCCATATTATTGTTAAAGTTACTACTGTTGTTATTGTTGAAAACAAAATTATTGTTATCCACTACAGGGCTGTTGTTAAAGTTATTAAAATTATTATTGAACCCATTATTGTTAAAGTTATTATTATTAAAAGAATTATTATTTACAAAATTATTATTATTAAAATTATTATCCATACACATATTGTTTATAGTATCATTATTGGTATTGAAATTAAAGTTATTACTAAAATTATTATTATCAAAATAACCGACGCCACTTGTATTAAAATTATTATCTAAATTACTCTTGATCGGATCGTCACCACCCGGTATAACTGGAACATCGTCGTCTTTATATTCAATTTGTTCCTCTTCAGGTTCTTTTGGTGTGTCGGGGATATTATTACCAAAATAAACTTCCATTAATGTTGAGTTTTCTCTTTGGGCCTGTATATCTTTTTCTAAACTGTCATAACCAAATTGTTTGATATCCTGTAAAACTGCTGGGTCGATTGGTATTGGTTGGTACCATTCAATCATTGTAGCTGTTTGTTTATTTGATGAGAAGGTTTCATCTGGATCAAATTGCTGCTGTTGAGCATCTCCAGATGCAATATCTTCTTTACAAAATTCTTTAACACTAACTAATTTATCATCATTTTCCCATTTAATATTAACTCTACCTTTTGAAGATTTTTTACGATTTGGATCTGGTACTGGTGTATCATCTTCTTTTGGTGGCTGTTCCCATATATCTAAAGAGTCTAATACTGATGCTGATGGGTCACTAGAACCGCTTGGTTTAATGACAGTTTTACTTTGACTTTTCAATTCTTGAACTTTTTTATCAACCATTGCTGCTGTAATTAGTTTTGAGCCTTTTGCACTGATTATGGTTGGTTGTTCTTGTGGTGAAGTTGATGATACTGTAATTGATGTGGTCGAGGTTTGTTCTTTTTTTATTGGTGGTGGCTTTTTAGTACTACTTGTTATTGTTGTGGTTGTGGTTGTACTTGTGGAGGGTGATGTTTGGTTTGTTGTTGGTGATGAGGAAGATGAAGAGGAGGATGAAGGTAAAGTGGTCGATGAGGATGAAGAAGATGCTGTAGATGATGAAGATGACGAGGAAGATGAGGTTAATGTTGAAGAGGAAGATAGTTTGTTCATAAACAAGTCGTCATAATCTTTAATAACTGATTTCTTTGGTTGTGTAGAAGTTGCAGGTGCTGTAGTTGGTTTCTTTGAATCTACCTCTATTGTTTTTATTTTTTTGCTCGAATCCACAGCTGGAGTATCTCTTTGTCTCTTTTTATCTGTAGTGCTTGATGGTGTTTCGGTGGAGTTAATTAAAACTATCCATTTTTTCTCTAATTCCTCAGCTGCATCCCTAACATTTGGGTTTTGATTCTTTTTAAATGATCTAACTGTTTTACCTATTAACTTTTCAATATGCAAATGTTCGACAGTAACTGGTAAACCTATAAGTCCTTTTAATGCTATAATAATATCTTTGGGTATTGTAATTGTTTCTTGTGCATATTTTAATACTGTATGAATATTTGATAACCCACGTCTTCTAGACCCGTAATGATTGCAATATTAAATGTATTAGTAATGTATATTGAAGATATTTTTTTTTAATTTTTTTTTAATTTTTTTGAAATTTGTTAAATTTTTTTACACAATAAAATTATTATGTGGGAAAAATTACCTTTTTTTACATGCATTGCTCATTTTTGTTTCGATAACCATTAAAAACTCTCTAATTTTGGGCCAGGCTGCAGCTTGTGAAAACTCTTGAATAAATAAGGGAACTCTATCTACTACACTTAGTCCATTCTTTTCGTCTTTCCATGAGATAATCTTTTTTTTAACAGAGGTTTCACTCATATTATTTGTTGTTGCTGTTAAATTATTATTACTATTGTTGTTTGTTAATAGGTTGGTGGCTGATGATGCAGTTGATAGTGATGAGGATGGTGTATTTGCTGATGTGGATGTCGATGAGCCCACTTTAATTTTGTTTTTAAATAAATAGTCTTGGAGTGTTGGTAACTCTTTTTCTGTTGGTGATAAATTTAAATTTGTAAAAATATTTTTTTCTTTTTTTTTATTTTCCAACAAATTTAAATTTTTTGGGTTAATTTGGGATGAATTTAACGTTACATTATTTTTCTTTAAATTATTATTTAAATTATTTAAATTATTTGTATTTATTGATGATGTTTTATTATTATTGTTATTTTGGGGTATTGATTTTTTAATTGCACTGCTTGTTGTTGTATTGGTTGGTGATAATGGTGTTGCTGCGCTAGTTTTTGAATTTTTTGATGTTGGTGGGGTAGGTTTTGCAGAGGTTGTTTTAGATGTTGATTTTATTGGTGATGTTAGTTTTTTTGATTTCTTTGGATCTTTTATTATTTCTTTTGATTTCTTTTTCTTTTTTTCGTCCTCGCTGTCGCTGTCACTGCTACTACTTATATCGCTACTGTCACTACTGTCACTGCTATCACTGCTATCACTGCTATCACTATCGCTACTATCGCTATCACTACTGTCACTGTCTTTTTCTATTAACCCTACAACCTTTTTGCTAGTTTTATTTTGATTTTTACCGATATTGGTAGTGCTAACTTTTTTATTATTTTTTTTGGTATCTGGGTTTACTTTCTTTGCAAGACTATTTTCATTTTTTTCAACCTTCGAATCTTTTTTTTCAATAATTTTAATTGATTCGGTATTATTGATATTATTATTTTTATTACTATTATTATTAATATTGGTAATTGGATACAAATTTGGTACTGGTGTTAAGGTTTTAATAATAGAGGTTGTTAAATTTGGATATCTAAATTCTTGAAGTTGATCAAATCTAATTAAATAGTTGGTTTGTATTTGTATAAATCTCTCTTTTGATGATTGATTGGTTGCTAATTTATCACTTTCCTTATAAAGTTCAGTTAATTTTGAATTTAGATCGTTGAGTTCGTTTATAAATCTGCTGGTTATTATATTACTAAAAAAGTTTGGGTAATCGAATAAAATCTTTTTACTGACTTCGAATAGTTGCTCTTTGGTCGTTGTAGGATTTGTTGCATTTAAACTTTCATACCATTTATCGACAATCATATCTATAAAATATTTGAAATAATATGTTGGTAAAATATTTGCTAATGGTAGTTCAATATATTGTGATATATCTGTAATAAAACTTAATAGTCTATTTGTATTTTCATTATTATAATTGATAATAAAATTATTATTATTATTATTATTATTATTATTATTATTATTATTATTATTATTATTATTATTATTATTATTATTATTATTATTATTATTATTATTATTATTATTATTATTATTATTTGGGTTATTTAAATTATTTATATTATTAGTTATATTACTATTATTACTATTTATATTATTGTTTGCAGAGATACTATTAAAATCATTATTTATACTACTATTACTATTAGTTAAGGGAGTGGTAATAAAAGGACTTTGGTTATTGTTAATCTCTGCAAATGAAGAGGATGATGATAATATACTATGGTTTTCGGTATTTTCTAAACCATTTGATATTTTATTATCTGAACTATCTATATTGCCAAAGTCTAAAATATCACTATTTGTATCAATTTCATTATTCATATTAATATTATTACTATTATTATACATTTGGGTTACTATTATTGGTGTGGATTGGGTTTGGTTATATATTTGATTTTGGAGTTGTTGTTGTTGTATCTGAATCGGTGATTGAATTGGTTGTATTGGTTGTTGGTAATACTGAGGCGATGATAAATTCTGTGGTGATTGAATGGATGGTACATTTTGAGGGAGAGGTGTTTGAATATTTTGTATTTGTTGAGGTTGTAGTGGTGTTTGGTTTATAGATGATTGTAATAGTTGTTGTTTTTTAGATTGGAGGACTCCCGATAGTTCTAAAACTGTTTGTTGCTGTTGTTGTTGTGTTAAAGTTAAAAAATGCTTAATATTACCTGTTACTTGATTGTATTGTTCTTGATTAAGAAAAGGTATAAGTTGTTGAATAATCGAGAGATAATAGGCCTGTAACGGTGTTTGTTGTAATGTTTGTAATGTTTGTGGTTGTGGTTGTGGTGTTTGTTGTAATGTTTGGTGAGGTTGGGGTTGTGATGGTGGAAGCTGATTACTTATCGGGGATGATTGGTTATTTATTGGAGAGTGTTGCTGTTGTTGAAAACCTAATGATGAGTCTAATGTCGATAATGGTTGTTGTTGCTGTTGTTGCTGTTGTCGTAATAGAGACTGTAAATTTTGAAATAATTGATCTTGAGGCGATGTATCACCAATTACATTAAAGTTTGTGGTGTTCATGATCTAACCTCCACAATATTTTCTTTTTTTTTTTTTTTTAATTGTAAGAAACTCTTTTGGAATGAGATTAGATGATGTGATTTATATTTATATAATATAGGTTAAATAATGATATCATACACCCCACACTATATATACACCCATACATAAACCACTTGTCGAGAATAAAATTTTATTATGTAAAATATATATATGTGAAGTGTATATTATTAAATTTATTTATTTATTTATTTATTATTTATTTATTATCAATCTATTTATTTATTTATTTATTTATTTTTATTTGATTTAAAAAAAAAAAAGATTTTTTTGGTTGCTTACTATTTTATAATTCTGTCGTTCTCTATTGAGATATTTGTGTGTGAGTAAAAAGAAAAAAAATAAAAAAAAAAGATAAAGTGAGAAATATATAAAAAGCAAAACCAAACAAAACAAGCAAACCAAAACAAAACAAAATAAAAATAAAAAATATAGAGAAAGGTTATAAAATATTAATATATTGTATTATTAAATAATGAAAAAATTAAAATTTTATTTTTTTTAAAATTTTTTTTTTTTTTTTATTAATTTAAAAAAAAATAAATTTTTTTTTATTTTTTTTTTTAAAATTATCTTATATTTTTTTTTTTTTTTTTTTTTTTTTTATCTATTTGAGATAAATATATATTTCTTTTACCCACTGTCAAACACACACACACCAACACCCCCACCACTTCTAACAAAGGATATGCCTCTATTTAATTTTGTTATTCAATTTATTTAATATTAAAAACACTAACGAGTAGTATTGCTCAAAAATGAATTAATTAATTCAAATTTGGTTTGGGGGAAAATTTTTTCATTTAAAAAAAAAAAAAAAAAAAAAAGATATTTTTTTTTTAAAATCATTTTCGCTTGTTTAATATTTAAACTATAATAATAGAATTATATCATTCTAAATTACCATCAATATCATAATTAACACTCAAAATCAGGGAAGATCAGCCAAATAAATTTTTTTTTTTTTTGTATTGTAACACCAACAAAAAATATGAATTATCACATATCTATATACAGATCCATCCATATAATAATTGTTCCCGGTTTTAGAAATCAATGTTTTAATATCCGAAATATTTAATCAAAATATTTTTCTGACAACACAAAAACACCAATTAATAAATAAAAAATTTTATTCAACCTATTAATTTAAGTGTGTTTTTATGATTTTTATGTGATTTTTATTATATTTATTTTTTTATTAAAAAAAAAAAAAAAACAGATATTTATTTTTTTAAAAAAAAAAATAAATTTTATTATTTTTTATTATTATTACCCCACATAAAATTAGACAAATAGATTTTATAAATGCAAAATATACCAACATATATATATTATAATATTTTATCAAGTATAATTAATCATTTGCTATTTAGTTTAAGGTATGGTAAATATTTTGAGTTATTTTTTGCAAATTCAACTCGAAATGAAATAATAAAATATGCAACCATATCAAAAAAAAGTTTTCAAATAGTTTCCTACGAACTTACTAATAATCTAAATATTGACAACTATAAATTATTAAAATTCTTTTTCGAATCCCCATTCAGTTATAATAATAATAATAATAATAATGATTATAAATTAATTAAATTAAAAGATTCAATAATAATTTATAATGATACTTTTGAAGATTTTAAAAATGAAATCGCTCTTGGACATACAGAGAAATATAAAAACATTATCTTTATCAATGATAATCCATCGGAATTCAGAGGGATTATTTCAGAACTTTCAAGGCTACCAGACAATACCCAGCTTTATTTACTAGTTTGCTTTGAAAATGATGCAGAATTTCTACTTAATGGTGGTTTAAATACCCTTAAAGAAAAAAATTTAAAGAAAATAAAAAGAATTACTATAGATTATGGTAATCCAAATATAATCTATAGAATTTTAAATACAAATATTAAAGATATAATATATTGTGACACTTTGGAGAATGGATTTGACTGTGAAATAATCTTTGATGGATCTCCAACTCGTGCAATTGAAATCGACGACTTATTCTACACCGAAGGAAATCAAAAAACTGTTAATCAAGGTTGTTCTTTATCAAAACTCGAAAAGCTCACTGTGGAATCTCGTCTTGAAGTTTTAATAGAAAGAGTCCACAAGAAAAGAATCGAAATGGCAAAAAAACTAGAATCTAATCATCAGGATGCCCAAATAGAGAATGCAGAGGACAATAGCGACGGTGAAGATAATAACAATAACAATAATGATGATAATGAAAAAATAACTCCAAACATAGATTATTCATATAAAAAAGATTTGGATTATATTGTTGAAAAGCTATCAAATGACCCAGCTCTAAACTCAATCTCATTATCACATTTTTGTTCTTTAGGTCTTTCATGCCAATCATGCAATGGAACCTTAGAAGGCATAAATATTCCAACTATATTTCAAGGTCTCAACACTCTTTTTTCAAATCCCAACACAAAGTTAGAAAATCTTAAACTTTACCTTGGTGGTAATAGCTTAGATGCCAATATAGTTCAAGGCTTATCAAATAATAGATCCATTAAGAACCTTGGTATTGCAGTAGGTTATTTTGAAGATATTATAACAAAGGTTTTAGTTGAAAATCGTAATCAAACCATTCGAAATTTAACAGTTTTTATTACCTCACACCATGATGTAGTCTCTTCATTGGCTTTATTACGTGCACACTCTCAAGACATAGATTTGTACTCTGTTACATTCATTGATAATAGACTTACAGATTTAAGCAAAATCAAAAAAGTAATTTCCGGTTCCCATGATAATGGCAATTATTCAGTCTCCGAAATCAATATCATATCATTCTCTTATATAACCCTTAAAAAAGAGTTTTTCACCACACAACACAATAACACAAAATTCAAATTAATTTTTTAGGGTTATTTTCTCACCACTTATCATACTCATCCATAGTTTGATTTGTAAATTCAAAATCACAACAAAAATAATTTAAAAAAAAAATAATAATCAAATAATAAACATTAAATTCTTAAATAAAAAAATAAAAAAGTGGTTATTTTTAAAACTAATTAAAAGATAGCTATAGTTTTTTTAGATTTTGATTTTTAAATATAAATAAATAATAACTATAAAATTGTAAAAATTAACTATTATTAATAATTGTTTGTATTAAATATATATTTGGGGTTTATCTGTTTAACCATGTAATTTTTTAATTTACAATTTAGGAAGTTTAATTTTCTTCTCATTACTACTATATAGCATAATAAAATATTTTTTAATTGTTTATTCATTAATCTTTTATTGTTTTTTTAAAAATAAATAAATAAAAAATAAATTAAATAAAAGATAATTTTTTAAAAACATTAATTGTTTTTTATTTTTAATAAATTTTTATTTTTTTCAAAACTAGGATATTTTTTTGATGGTAATTATATAATTGTGTATGGTGATATATCAACACAAATTTATGGTTTACACAAAAAAAAAAAAAAAAAAAAAAAAAAAAAAAATCTGTAATTTTAATTTTTTTTATTTTTTTATTTTATTTTTTTTCTTTATAAACCTTTTTTTTTTTTTTTTTATTTTTTAAATTTTTTTTATTAAACGACAGGTATAAAACTCTATTTATAAATAGACAATATATTAATTATACTATTTTAGTTTATACTTTTTTTTTTTTTCAATTCCTAAAACCCGAAAAATAATTTATTTTTTTTTCACATAGGAAAAAAAAAATTTAAAAAAAAAAAGATATCTTTTTTTTTTTTTTTTAATATCAAAATAATTTAAAAAAATGAAAATAATAAATAGATTGGTATTATTATTTTCAATATTTGTATTATCTGCAAATTTAACAGAATCAAGAAATGTTATTTCAATAAGTGGGTTTAAACCTGTCATTACCTCTTCAAATGGTATTAAAACGATTGCCACATACTCAAATGTTACTATTCCATCAACGGCCGATGATGCTTGTAGTTATTGTTCCGCCAATGTAACAAGCTATTATTGCCCAGATTCACAATTATGTATTACCAATGTTACATCTTTAGAAGATTGGCCTTCATGTTCCTCTGGTTGGTGTAATTCAGATAGTTGTCAATGCGAAGCTAAATGTTTAAACTCAATTTGGCCATGTACAAATAATATTGTAGGTATGCTATTTTTAATGGCTGTATATGGTTCAATTTTAGCTTTAGGTGCTAAATTCATTTCAGATGGTTCCGAAGGTCTTTTAGAAATTTTAGATCCAGGTCTTATTGGTGGTTTAGTTTTACCAATTTTATCAGCAGCCCCTGATGCAATTATCATTTTAGTATCTGGTGCTTTTAGTTCAAATCCTCAAGCACAACTTGCAATTGGTATTGGTACATTAGCTGGTTCAACTATTATGCTTTTAACTAGTAAGTATTTATTTATATTTTATTTAAAAAAATAATTTACTAAAAAATTTTTTTAATTTTATTTTATAGTCCCATTTTCATCTTCATTAATTTTAGCAAGATGTGATCTCAGAGGCGGTGAATCAGTAGATGGTGTTTTAACTCATAAATGGAGTCTTACTAAAACTGGTGTTACTGTTGATGATGATACTAAAGTAGGTGCAAAGATTATGATGGGTGTCAGTATTAGTTATTTAATTGTTCAAGGTGTTGCTTTTGCCTATCTTCATGACCCAGAGGATGGTAGAAGAGTAGAAAAATGTAAATATAATTAAGTTTAAAATTAAAAACTCATTTATTTTATATAAATATTTATTAATATATTTATTTTATAATAGGGTTTTCATTGGCTGGTTTAATTGTTTGTGCACTCTTAATGGCTGCATATTGTGTTTACCAAGTAGTACAACCAAAACTTCAAGAAAAGAAAATGGAAAATGCTAAAAAAAATTATTTAACTAAAAGAATTGTACATCATTTCATTCACAACTTAACAATCAAAAAGAACCTCTTTAATCACAATCACGGTGAAGAGGGTTCAAGCAGTAATGAACACAATGAAGAATCACCACTTATTGGTGAAGAGCACAAAAAACTCCCAGTAGATGTCAAAGGTATTGGTTTGAAATGGAAAGCCAAGGCTCATGAAAAAGCACAAAAGAGAGAAGAAACCTCCATCCAAGTCAATGAAGCCAAAGAAGATGGTGATGATCATGAAGAACATGGTCCAATCAATAAAAAGAAAATTGCACTTCAATCAGCTGGTTATTTAATTTTAGGTACTGTATTAGTATCTTTATTCTCTGATCCAATGGTTGACGTCATTTCCGATTTTGGTACAAAATTAAATATTAAATTATTCTTTGTCAGTTTCATTTTAACTCCATTCTGTTCAAATGCATCCGAACTTATTTCTTCACTTATATTTGCCTCAAAGAAGAAGAAACAAAACTCATCTCTTACTTTCTCTGCATTATACGGTAGTTGTTCAATGAACTCTACAATGTGTTTAGGTGTAAGTATAGTTTTTAAAACATTAAAGAAATATTTTTTAATATAAATCTCAAATATGCTAATTTTTTTTTTTTAGATATTCTTTGCTCTTGTTTACTTTAGAAATCTCGTCTGGGAATACTCTGCTGAAACTATTGCAATTCTATTTGTAACTTTAAGTGTTGGTACTTTGGGTGCCACTCAAAATACAATGAAAACCTATATGGCTCCTCTTGTTTTGTCACTATATCCACTTTCTTTGTTATTAGTTTATCTTTTAGAAACTTTCGCAAATTGGCAATAAAGAATATACATATTAAAACTCCCCCCTTTTTTTAAAAAAAAATATATGTGTTAATTTTTTTTAAGTCACTTAAAATAGCTTGTTTGGAATAAAAAAAAATATTTTTTTTAGGAAAAATAGAAATGAATATTTAGAAAAATAGAAATGAAAATTTAAAACTAAATAAAAAAGAAATAAATATTAAGTTTTAGTTAAAAAAAAAAAAGATTTTTTTTATTTAGTTTTTTTATTTGCAACATTCTCTTTTACATGAGCAATCTCCCTTACATTGGTCTGAACATGTGCATGTGGAACATTTACATGAGATTTGTTGATCCTTTGGACAGTGGCATGATTCTTGGCAACAAGTGCACTCTTTTCCTTTACAACATTTACAGCAGTTTGTCTAAATTAAAAAAAGTTTTTTAATTATTAGTATTTATAAAACTATTTTTAAGAATATTATAACTTTTTTATCCTACCATTTTTATTATTTGTTTCTTAATAAATTTAAGTATTGAAATTGAATTTAAAAAAAAAAATAAAAACTCTTAAATTAATTTTAAATTTCAAAAAAAAAAAAAATAAAAAATAAAAAAAATTTAATTAAAAATTTAAATAAATTAAAAAATAAGATTTTTCCTTTTTTGTATTTTTAATAATAAATTATTAAAAATTTAATTTGAAAAAAAAATAAAAACTCTTTCGTGTGTGTGGGTGGAATTTGAATAAAATTATCATTATGTGAATGTAAACCACAAAATTTTTTTCCAATTTAATAATTTAGTTTATATTATTTTAGAAAAACTAATAAAATAATAGTTTTATAAATTATTAAAAAAAATAAAATAATCAAATTTTATTTTTTTATTTTTTTTATTTTTAAATTAAATAATTTTTTTTTTGTTTTTTTGTTTTTTAATAAATAAATAGGTTTTTTTTTAAAATAAAATAAAATAAAATATAATTATTATTATTTAATTATTTATTATTATTATTATTATTATTATTATTATTAATTATTATTTTTATTATTATTATTTAATTTTATTTTATTTTATTTTTTTAATTTTAATTTTTATAAGTTTGCGACTTCTTCCACCATACTTTGTTCGTTACCATTGATACTACTCATTTCAGTTAATTGAACCTGAATTTCCTCAAAACAAGTTTTACAAATTCTAACCTTTTTACCTTGAATATATTGAGATAAATCTTGAACTGGACAACAATCATTACAAAATATTTTACCACATTTTCTACAATGATGCTAAAAAATAAAAAAATAAAAAATTAATATTTGTTTTTATATTGCACCCAATTTTTTTTTTTACTACTTACTCTTCTTCTTGTCATTGTAAAACTACTAGTACATAACATACAAGCTTTTGTCATTTGATCTTTTAACCAAATTGTTTTTGTTGATTTCTTTAAATCATTTGATGAGTCACTTTTTTCTTCAGTGCCAATTGGAGTGTTTTTATCCAAAGCATTGAAAAGTTCAGCAGGTGACATTGAACCACGTCTTTCATAAATATTAGCTCTTTGTTGTAAACATTCTGGATTTTGACCAACTAATTTATCAATAACCTCATTTAATAATTTCATCCATGATAATTTTTCTTCACTTGATTTAGCACTTAAAAAGTATGTTTTATCTTTTGAAATAATTTGAAAAAGATTATTATATCTTTGAGTATCTGGTATATCTTTAACCCAACAAGATAATAAAGGGAATGTTGCCTATATTCAAATTAAATAATAATTTATATTAATATTTTTTGATTTTTGATTATTATAATATTAAACTTACTTTATATCTGTAGGTATCTTTTCTTTCTTTTTTACAATAAATTAATAAATCGTTAAATAAAAAAAAGTGTCTATTATTTACAACACGATCAGATATTTTTTTAAGATCACCTTCTTTTAAGAAATGACGAGTTGGTGTTACAATATCTTCTTCTAAACCATTTAAACTATTTTGAATATCCAATACTTTATGTGCAATTTGATACTCTGCTAATTTTTCATCGATTTCATTTGCTGATTTTGAAATTTCATCATTACCACCTATTAAATCTTGATAATCTACATGGTCGGTTGGTGTATGTTTAATAATTGATTCTAACAATAAACGATAACGGGGAATTCTTTGAATGGGCATAATAAGGTAAGCTGAAAGATTTAAACCTTTTGATGCTGGTTTCTCTAAACATTTTTGAAGGAATTGAGAAAATTGTGAATTTGATTTCATTAAACTTCGAATAGTTAACATACTGCCGTTATATGCATTTGAATAAATTTTGTATGATTTTAAATATGGGCTCATTTTTTTGAAAACATCACCAAGCTTTTGAGTATCTGACCATTTTGTAATTCTATCTTCAAAATCAACTAAAAAGGTTTTGTGGACATTGAAAATAGTTTCAATATTTGAAAAAATTTGATTGATTTCTTCCATATTAAGGATTTTATCTTTTGAATTTACTTTATCTCTTAATGGTAATAAAAAGATGGTAATGATTCTATTTAAATTATTTACATATTTCTTTTCTGTTGATAATAACTCTTGAACTAAATAATTTCTTTGAATTTTATCTGCATTTGGATCTTTTGGTTTTTTATTTGAAATTTGTGGTGAGGTGGATGTCGATGATGATGGTGATGTAGATGTGGATGTGGATGCAGATGTTGTTGATGATTCATTTGCAGCCCCACCCATGTTATTAGGTTTATTGAATTTATTATTGTTATTATTACTATTATTGCTAGTTGCTGATGAAGAGGATGCTCTTGGTGTTGTAGATTCATCTTCATCGCTACTTAATTTTTCACTTGTTTCATCATCGTCGTTTATAACCTTTTTTAAAAACAATCTTTGGGCGTCATTTGAGGTTGTTGATGGGGTAGGTCTATTTATTGGAGTTGGTTTTAATTTAGGTACCACTATAGTTCCTGCAGATGATTGTAATTCATTTCTTGGTGGTAAAGCTGGTTTTTTAGGTGTTGGTTTGGATATATTATTATTACTATTATTTAATGGGTTATGTGATGGTTGGGGTTTTAATGGTGGTGATGATGAAAACTGTACTGGTGATTGTGTATTTTGTCTTGATAGAGGTGGTTTCATTGATGCAAAACCGTTTCCATTAGAAGGTGAAAAAGATGGTAGCGATGATGTTGATGAATTTAAGCTACTGCAGGTACTTGTATTTGTGCTTGTATTTGTGTTTGTATTATTATTATTGTTATGATCAATTGATTGTGATAGTGCTGGTCTTCCTGCTGGGAGTGGTGGTGAGGGTTTTTTAAATGATGGTAATTCTCCAACAGACGATGATAAATTTGGTTTTTGTTGAAGTTGAAAAGCTGATGGTTTTTTAAATGTAGATGGAGTAGGTTGGGTTGGTGTAGATGACAATGAAGGTGAAGAGGATGGCGAGGATGAAGGTGAAGAGGAGGATGCTGCTGCTGCTGCTGCATTTTTAAATTTGTGTAAAACTGATGGTAAAGTTGGTGTTGATGATGATAGTGTAGCACCTGAGGATGATGATGCAGATGATTCCTGTTGTTGTGAGGTACTTGGTTTTAAAATTGGTCTTGGGGCTGGTTTTATTGTTATTGGAGAAGGAGATGGTGAGGGTGATGGTGATGAACTATTTACAGATTGTTTTTCTTTTAATTGTTTTGCTACAGAACTAACTGATAATCTTTTGACTCCATTATTTGGATCTGTTGTTGATGTTGTTGTATCAATAGATGAGAAAACTGAACTTGCTGGAGGTGGTGCCTCTTTTTCTTTTTTTGTACCAAAAAATCTTGTACCTTTGCTAACTGAGCTCATTTTTTATATTTATTTTTCTATTTATATGATTGTTATAGCTTTGATATAAAAAAAGTGGTGTGGTTTGGTGTGTGGATTAAAATATGACTTTTTTAAAGAAAAAAAATTTTAAAAAACAAAAAAAAATTAAAAAAGGGTGTGTGATTTGGTGATTGGATTGTTTGATTATTATTTTTTTTTTTTTTTTAAAAATTATTATAATTTTAAATTTAAAATAATTTAATAATATTATAAAAACTTTAAAGTTTAATATAGTACAAAATAAATAAATAAAAAAAACTAAACTATTTACAAAAAGAAATAAATATTTATATAGATACTGATGAAAAAAAAAAAAAAAAAAAAAAAAAAAAAATTAAAAATAAATATAAACTATATAAAATATTAAAATTTTAAAATAAAAAAATAAAAATAAAAAGAAAATTATAAAGGGAAACAAAAAAAATCACAGAAAGCGGTGTGCTAAAAAAAAAAAAAAAAAAAAAAATTTTGAAAAAAAAAAAAAAAATTAAAAAAAAAATTTTGATTTTTTCTTTTCATATAAAATTAGCTTTTTTGTGGTTCTTTATTAATATTTAAAATATGTATTTATATACCCACTTCCCCATTTGATTAAATATAAATTATTTAATTTTAAATTACATTTACATTATTTTAAATTCCAAATTGAATAAAATTAATTTTATTTTAAAAGTAAAAACAAAATTTAAAAATAATAACACATCACACACTCACACAACCACACATTCAATTAAACGGGTTCTTTAATCCAATATATTCTCATACACTAAATTTATTCGTTTTGATTTAAAAATAAATCTATTTTTAAATTTTAATATTTTCAAGTAATTGATTTGTTGAAAAAAAAAAAAAAAAAAAAAAAAAAAAAGTCCCAAATTGTTTGAATAAAAAACAAAAATAAATAATATTTGCTTTTTTTCTTTTTATTTTAAAATTTGTAAAAAATAACATTTTGTAAAATTTGTTCCTGGGTCAGTGTTGAGTTTTTATATTTTTTATTTTTTGAGGTGAATGGTGATGGCACTGATTCGTCATTAAGAATAAAATCTACTTTGATATTTGGATATTTGAAAAAGTGTTTCTCTAAAAAGTTTGGGGTTTCGCACGACCTTGGCATAAATTCTAAACTGAAATGAATTTCAATGTTTTTTAAAGTTTCTGAATGATTTTTTAAAAGATGGTCAAAGAATGAAAAGTCATAAATAAAAGGTATATTTGCATCGTGTTGAAAGTTTCTTATTATTGAAATTGAAAAGAATTCGATTGAATGTTTTCCTTCGTCGTTGGTTACAATGTGTGTGATTAGATCATTTGCATTGATTTGATTATATGGACGATTGATGAACCCTGAATTACTAATATTATTATAACCATAGTAATTTGAAATTACTAATCTCTTTAAATTGGGCATTTGAGGTGGATATATTAAATAATCTCTTTCTAAATAACGTGTTTTGTATATATATGATATATTGTCTATATAGTTTCTTTCGATTTGCTGATTATTATCCAATCTTATAAATAACTCTTCTACTCTGCTGAAGGAATGCTTAATGTTACTATTTTCAATGGTTGTTGGTAGATATTTTATAGACTCGTAGTTTAAATAGAGTGGTGGATGTTTAACCATGCAATATTCGCTGTTGAAGTTGATTTTATTAAATATAGGAAATGAATAGCCGCTAATTACTTTTGAAAAAATATTTAATAATCTTTTTGAAACCAATCCGTATGAAATATCAATTGGGATATTATCTCTTTCATAAAAGAATTTATTTGGAGTTTTTTCAATTTCACTTTCATTGTAAATTATATAATCAAATATTTTGCCTATAATAATATTATCCAAATAAATATTATGATTATAATAATCCAAATCCATTTCTTCTATATTATTTTGAATATTATTATTATTGTTGTTGTTGTTGTTATTACTATTAATAATATTACCATAGATATTTCTTCTTTTTTGGTAGTCTATTATTAATTCAAAATCACTACTATTATTATTTGATATTATTACGCCATTGTTTTTTTTATTTTCTAATATTTGCTTTGTTATTCTAATTAGTTCAGCTTGATTATTATTTATCTTTAATGTTGATTCTAAATTTGTTACTTTATCAAAAAACTGTTTATTATCTACTAAATTAAATAATATTTGGACTTTCTCTTTTAATAGTTGCTTTTTTTCTGTTTTTATAAAACCATCCAACTATATTAAATAAAAAAAAAAAGAAATTAATATATTACATTTAAAAATATAGATTTGATTTTCTTACTCTTGGATCAATTAAAATCTTGTAAAATAAATTTGAAAAGCTTTTACCAGTTTTCATAATATTTAAAAATTTTAATAAAGAAAATATTTCTATATCTTTATCAAAGAAAATACTTGTTGTAAAAGCAATGAAATAATCTTCAAATATATAATGTGCCATTTTAGGGTGATGGTAATTTAAAAAATAAACGACTGAAAAATATTTCATTGATTTTGTAATATTATTACTGCTATTATTACTATTATTATTATTAATAATACTATTGTTACTATCATCATCATCATTATTATTATTATTGCTATTAAATGATGGAGGAATTGATGATTTTAAAAAAATGTTGAAAATATCAAATGATTCGTCTAATGGTATAATGCCACCACCAACAAATATTTCATTTTTTATATAGTTTTTAAGTGTTAAATCTATTTCTGGATTTTGAATAAACCAATTTATTAAATTTGTTATATTTTTTTTATTTAGTATATTATTTTTAAATGTGTAATCATAAACAATTTCTTGATAGTGACTAAAATCATTGATTTTGACATCCTGATATTTTGAACTGTTTTTATTATAGAACAGATCACTAAAATCGTTTACTTCTTTTAAATATTTAATTTCTAAAATTTCTGAATCCATTTATTTGTAAATTATTTAATTTTAATAAACTGTGATGAATGATGATAAAAATTAAAAAAAAAAAATTAAAAAAATTAAAAAAAAAAAATTATAAAAAATTAAATTAAAAAATTAAAAAAATTAATAAATAATATAAATGGAAATTTTTTAAAAAAAATAATTATATAGGATTGAGTTTATTTATTTGTTTTGTTTTTGTTTTTTTTATATTATTATTATTTCCATTTTTTGGATAAAATAAGTGAATATTTATAATTTTTAGCTAATATTGCTAAAATGAATAAAGTGATTGAGGTGATGATTAATGCTAAATGATTAAATTGATCAGAAAGAATATCGTATGGGAGTGATGGAGAAATAAGTACACAGAAAATATCAGGTTCGCCAAATGAAAAAAGAAGTGAGGTTGATTCTAAATCTGTACCGGTTGATTCGATACCAACAAGACCGGTAACAGCGGTATTATAAGTTGTGAAAAACCATGGTGGGAATTGGAGTAATGGTTTATATGGAATTAATTGCTCTTCAGCATCATTTGGTGTAACCTCATTTGGATATGGACGTCTGGCACTAATGTATTTTTTATCGATTGGTAAAATTTGACCATTTTCCATTCCAACAATTATATTTTTTGATGTGATACCCTTGGTTGTAATAGATAATGAGAGTGTTTTGATGGGTGGATATGGGAAAACATATGTTTTGTGTTTAATGAGCAATTGGCTGTCTGCACCACTGGTGGCATCGAATGTTGAGTTGTAGCTAGAGAATGTTTCGGTGTTCCAGTCAATGTTCTTTTCGAAAATGTCAATGGTTGAAATTAATTGAGTTTGTGTGAGAATATCATAGTGAGAGTAAACAACGCTGTTTTCAGTTTGGACCAATGAAACCTTTGGTGATGAGTGTTGATGTTTAAATGATTTGATAATTTCACCAGTAACTGAATCGACCAAATGGACATTAAGGGTTGAAGTAGTTGGGTCCAATGTAGCAACTGAAATCAAATTTCTATTGACATATTTTGGTAAGAGATCACGATTACCTAAAATGATAGCTGGTGATTGAATAGTTTCGTGTGGGTTAAATGAAGATACTTGGAGTATTTGATTATTCTTTCCAAAATGTAAGTTCCATGTGGGAATCGATTTCATGTTTCCATGTTTTCCATTTGCTAAACTTTCGATACCATAACCTTTAATTTCATTTTGCTCTTTATTTACAAGGAAGAAATGGCTTTGTTTAAGTTGACCCCAGCTCTTTCTAATTTTTTCGTTCCATGGATGTAATGATACCATTGGTGATGGATGATCAACTGGATAGTTGACAACCCAATACATCATTTGACGATGGGTGATTGGATCCATCCATTGTGAGATGACATTGGAGTGAAGCATCTTACTATTTACAATAATTGAGGTATTTTCTTTACCTTCAAGTGGATTGATAAAGCTAATAACTGATTTTGGTGTATCTTTAATTTGATAGATAATGGCGACTTCTGGTGGATAGTAAATTGCTTTCTTTGTGACGTAGATTTTCATTGTCATAGATTCTTTAAGGAATGATTGGTAGTAGATAGACCACAAAACTTGACCTCTATTTGAATTTAATCCGAATACTTTGCCAGATAAAGTTGAAGCAATAATAACTTTTTTAATAGATTGATCGTTATTTGCCTTTAATAATTCTTCTTGAGCGCTATTGCTGTCCTTTGATAAACCAAATAATGAACTGATTTGGGTGGAAATTCTCTTTGAAAAGTGTGCTAAAAATCCATCGGTTTCATTAAATTCATATTGAAGTTGAGCTAATTTTGAAATATCTGGAAGTGGGTAATCAATGATTTCGCTTGTTAAAATGAATGAAAGGGATTCTTCTCTGGTCCATAATTTTGAAACTTTGGTATTTTGGTCCAATAATTCAAACATATTGATTGACCAATCATCCATTGAAACCAAAACCAATGGTGTGCCACTCTTTGATTCAAATGAGAATACTGATACTACATTACCATTCTCTTTTTTTGAAATTGATGGTAATTTAATAGCCTTTACTTGATCGCTAGATAAACTGTATTTTTCTTCATCCGATGTGCTACTTATGATGATGTGATGATAATTATTAACATTATTTTCAGTTGAAATTGTATTTTCATAGTATTTGACTAATTCAACTTTGTTGGTATCCTTGTTAAACTCGACTGATAAGCTAGATCCGCCAACCAAACTGACCAACCATTTGAAGTCATTGATTGAGGATATGCTTGAAATCTTTTTGGTTGATAAGCTAGATTCGATAGATTCTAAAGTGACGCTATATAATTTAGAGTTGTAGATGATATTTAATACTGATGACTCTTTATTAGTTGTAACTATTAAATATTTTGAATTTATATTGAGTGATGGTTGGGTATTTTCAGTGATTTTGAATGATTGTATTTCTTTAAGAGCTGATTCACCAACTTGCATCATTTTAATAGAATCTTTGTTTATTGTGTACACTTTAGTTGAGTCGAATGAATATAATGTATCGGTATTTTCGATGGATGATACTAAATTTATTAAATTATTTTCATCTTTTTTTAAAATTAAAATATTATTTTTACAAAAAACTCTAAATGTTGGTTGGGTAGTTGATACAGTTGAGGTGATATCTGCACTATAACATTGATCATCATTTGCTAAACTTGTATCATAAACTGAAATTAAATCACCATTCTTTCTATTCCAATATCTAATTTTATTATTATTTGATAATGTTAAAATATCTTTTTTAATTTGAAAAAAATAAAATTTATAAAAAATATAAAAAATTTAAAAAATATAAAAATAAATAAAAAAATAGTTAATATCATCTGTTTAAAATATTAAAATAACCACAATGGTAAATATACATACAACTATTATCATTACTGGCAGTCATTGATTGGAATGATTGTTCTTGATTTGGTAATAATTGTCTCCACTTAGAGTTACCATTTTCTGCATCTAAAAGACTGATTGCATATGATGGTACTGTAGCTGTTGGTGAAGAATCGGCACCACCACTACCTGATCTGTGTAATACTTTAGTTTGTACTAAAACTGTATTGTCATTTGAAAAATATAAACCGTTCTCCAACTGACCAATACCTCTAATGGACCAATCTTTTAAACCGATCTCTTCCTCGTAGATACCAAATACAATACTAATACATAATATAAAAAATGAAAAAACTACAAATTTATTCATTTTTTAAATTATAATTATATGATTTATAAAATAAAAAATTAAAAAACAAAAGAGAAAAATTTAATAAATTTTAAAAAAAAAAAAAATGAACTTTTCTTTAGTTCAGCTTTACGTGCCAAAAAAAAAAATTATTTTATTTTTTTTTTTTTAAATTTTTTAAATTTTTTTTTATTTTTTTTTTTTTTTGTTTTTTTTTCAATTTTTTTTTTTTAATTTTTTTTTTTTATAAATTATTTTTTTCATACACTTTAATCAAATAATTAAATAAAATATAAAAATGGCCGGTCAATATTGGAGAGCTGCTGGTATTACTTACCTTCAATACGCTAACATGTGTGGTTCACATGTCCGTAATTGTTTAAAAGAACCATTCAAAGCAGCTGCTAAAGTTAGAGAAAATTTCGTTTCAAACACTGTTCACTATGTTAATGGCAAAGAAAACCAAACTAGTAAATATCATAGCCTTTATTAAAGAAATTCATTAAAACCTTATATAACTTGTTTTTACTAATTCTAAATTTTCATTATAACAGTCATTTTAAATTCAGAATTATTACAAAAAGAATTAACCACCAAGAAAAACTAAATTTAATATAGAATAATAATAATATAATCAAACAATAAAAATAACAACACATAATATAGTAATAACGAATATTGATAGATTAGATTAAAAAAATGTATACAAAATAAATTATTATAAAAAAAAAAATACATATAAAAAAATTTTCGAATAGCACACCATTTTTATTTTATCCAAAGTTATTTTTTAGAATTATTTTGTGGTGCCTTATTTTTTATTTTATTTTTTTTGTATTTGTGGTTAGATATTAAGTTTATTTATTAATTAAGTTTAAAAAAATTTTATTTTTTATTTTTTATTTTTTATTTACTTGCAAATATCTATTTTATTTTATTTATTTTATTTAAAAAAATTATTAAAATAATTAAGGATTTTTGGATAAATTAAAATATTTGCATCTAAAGCCCAAACATAATCTAGATGAGCATAGTTGTCTATAATGGTCCAATCTAAAATGGTTTGGGGTGGTAATTCACCAACCAGTTGTTTTACATCCAAAGGATCAGCCAATTCATCAAGGGTTCCAGAGAAAAGAGCAATCTTGATTTGTGTTGGCATATTTGAAAAACTGTAAATTGGAGGATGACGTTGACCATAGTGTAAGAGATTACCAATTAACCCATAATCGTATTTTTGAAATTGTTTTTCGTTTACTAATTGAGTGAAATGGACCAAGTTTCTTAGTGATGTGCCACCAGGTTCGTGGCCTCCTACAAATGACATACGGGATTGATTAAATGCGCCTTTATGTGGCCCACATATCCATTCTACAACATCTTCGCAACAAACAGGACAGTTTTTACAAAAGTCCATAAATAATCCTTTGAGAATTGATGGTGATGGTAAAAATTGCTTGAAACCAAATATTCTGAATATATCATCCACTTTATACTTTGCTAATGCGCTTAAACCTTTATTCTCAATATAAGTTACATTACCAACTGGTCCCAATGCCATGAATATTGGTACTTTGGATGCAAAATCTTTAATTTCTTGATAGGCTACCCATGCTTGCATTGTTCCCTCGCTATGGCCCACATATCCAATTTGTGAGAACCCAGTTTCATTAAGTATATAGTCTACCATCGTTGGTAAGTCTATTAGCCCAAATTCATCAAATGAAAATTCCCAAAACTCTCTACTCTTTGTTGATAGAGTAGTATGATTGATACTATAAAGATTGCCCCTATTATTACCCATCCAAACATCGTATCCTTGATCTGATAAAATGTATGGTAAAGACTCATTTGGTTCATTAATGATCCAACTATAAAATTAATTAATATTTATTGAGGTTTATATTTTTCAAATCTTTATAAAAACTTACGTTATAGATGAATCTAATAAACCATGTTGTAATAATATGGGTTGTCTTTTACTATTTTGAAAAGTAGAATTTCTTGGTGAATATGGTATTCTAAATAGTCCCAATATATAGCCATCACTTGTAGTTACATAATGGTGATCGCAAGGGTATCCATGATTGGTAATAACATTAATAAATTCTAAATTGATATTTTCTATATTATCTTGGTTTATTTCAATGTTGTTTAAATTATTAAAATGATTTTGTTGTCTATTATATAAATTATTTTTAATTTCTTCTATATGTACACTATTTACAATTTGATAATTAAATAAAAAATTAATTATAAAAATTATAATAAAAATATATTTATTTAGAAAAATCATTTAAATAAATAAATAATATAGAAATTTAAAAATTATCTATATTATATAATTTAAAAAAAATATCTATTATATTTTTATATTTGAAAAAAATAAACAAATACAAATAATTGTTTTTTTGATTTTTAGATATATAAATGAAAAAAAAAAAAAAATGAAAAAAAAATTTTAGTGTGTGTATTTTATAAATAATTAATTAAAATTTAAAAAAAAAAAAAAATAATTATTTTTTAATTTTAAAAAAAAAAAATTTGGTTGATATTTAAATAATTAAATGAAACAATACCCCAAATAAGTTATTTTTTCATTTTAATAAAATTATATTAAAATACTTAATATGATAAACCATATTACTAAAGTATTGATTAAGATGGTTTAGTTTTTCCTAAATTTAACTCAATTTCATAAATTTATATTCAAATAATAATAAAGCTCAACATGCTTTCAAAATCAATATTGTGTAACACCACCACCAAAAATAACATTAACAAAAAAAAAAAAAAATCCACTATATAGTGGATATTTTTTTTTTGATTTTATTTTTTTTATTTTTTTTTGTGTAAATAAAAATTTTTTATAATTTTTTTTTAATTTTAAACTTTTGTATCAAAGAACGAAAAAAAAACAAAAAAAACAATAGTGTATAATAATTTTGTTAAATGTATTTGTAATAAAAAAAAAGAATAAACCAAAAATATTTATATAGGTATAAATATATTGTAGACCTTTTCGGTATAATTTTAAAATTTTTAAAAAAAAAATAAAAAAATAAAAAAATAAAATTAAAAAAAATAAAAAAAACTAAAACAAAAAAATTTTAAATAAAATAAAGCAAACTATTTCTCAAAGTAAAGGGTCATAGTGATGATGATATGATAACCAATAACAATAGTAATAATAACAATAATAATAATAATAATAGTAGTAATAATAACAATAGTAATAATAGCAATAGTGATAATAACAACAAAGACGATAAAGATGAAAAAATAATTCACTCAGGGTATTTAACCAAACAAGGGGGAAATATTCAAAATTGTAAATATATAAATTAAAGAATAATCAATTATTACTGAATCAAAAATAAAAAAACTAACAATTTTTTTTTATATACACACAGGGAAAATCAGATGGTTTGTTTTAAAGAAAGGTACATTATCATATTATATTTCACCGATCAATTGGGAAAGTTCAAAACCTAGGGGTGTAATATATTTAACTAAAAGAACAGAGGTAAAAGAAACACTTCATAGAAATAGACGGTATTGTTTTACAGTTAATCCAAATTATATGTTAGAAAACCAATCAATACAACAATCACCAGCATTAAGATCTTCGGCGGATAGTATTAGAAAATATCCAAATACAACCAGGGTTTATTTAATTTCAGCACAAACAGTATTCGATCAAAAAAAATGGATAGAAATGATAAAGTTGGCGATAAATAATGATGTAATTATTACCATATTCTTCTACATTCAAAAACTCTTACAAATTTATATATACATAATTTTACGATTAGTTTCTCATATTTATAATTTAATTATTTTTAATTAGGAATTAAAATCAAGTTTAAAAAAAGCAAATCAATTAGAAAAAGTTAAAGATTTAGTTAGAAGAAAAGAATCATTACCAATGCATCCATCATTATTAAATAGAACTATTCAAACAGAATCTATTAATGATAATATTAGAGTACAGCTATCGAAAAAGAAATTTTATTTTTATCATGATAATTTGACATTACCATCATTGTCATATATTGAAACAGATATTCCGTTGGATTTGCAAGAGATTCATCATCAGCATTTGGTTATCTTGCAACAGCAGAAAGAAGAAATTAAAATGAAGTTACAATCTTTAGAACAAAAGCAATCATCATCCAATAACAACTCACAATCATCATCAAATACAACCTCAGCTGCCAATAGTAATAAAGTATCTCCAACCACCTCACCATATTCAGGCTCACCTTTATCTAGTTCACCATTATCCACTTCACCAACAAAAAAGTTTACAAACATGCTTTCTACATCCCCACCTAAATCACCAAATAGACCTGCATCACCCACACTTGGCAATAATGAATCTCCATTTTATGGTGCACCAATCACTAGATTACCGTTACTCTCTAGTTCAGTCGTATCAGGAAATAGTATTGGTATGGTCTCAAATGGTACCCCAGTAATTTCATCAATGAATGCCTCGATTGCCTCATCTGCAAACGCTTTAAACTATAAAAATAACAATACTGGCGACTATTCATCATCGCCTTCAATAGCATACAACCAACTAATCTCTGTATCGAATCAAGTTAGTCATCGTCATCAACCAAAAATTGTGGTATATCACTTGGTTAGAGATTCATTTCAAATTTCAAATATTGGCGGTTGTCCTTTCAATTTTGAAATTTTATCCCCATTCGACCAAAACTATACAATCAACTTTATTCCATCCAATGGAACTGTACAGAAAGGTGAATCTTTAACAGTATTGGTGGAACTAATGGCATATAATCACATTGAAATAGATATCTATACTACACTACACATTATTGGCGGAATGGAGTTTACACTATACTGCAGAGTTGAAACGGATCCATATCTTCCATTGTTTTTAAAATCTTGTTCTGGTTCTTTGTTATCCGGTGAAAATAAAAAGAGAATGGAGTATTTTATTAGAAATCACCCAACCATGATAAAATCAATCCAAGAATTGGCACATACAATGATAGCGGAGGGACGTAATATCCCACCAATTCAAATGGCACCAAACAATTCAGGTTGGAATATACTTTCAAATAAAAGTCCACATCACCACAATTTAATGCTAATGAACCAAATGAACAATCATTCACTTTCATCATCTACATCTTCATCTAGTTCAGCTGCACGTGTTAGACTTTCAAAATATGTATTAAACTATCAACGTCATCAAAAGAAAACATCACGAGAGGGTAAAGGACCAGAAGCAGTTAAGATCTATCAATTACTTACAGATAAATTTTTAATTTCAAACTCTGGCTCTGCCGATGCACAATTTCGATTTAACTTCCCATCTCGTGGTAAAAAGAATAATCAATATAATTTAACCTTAGTTCCCACCAGTGGTTCCATTGCAAAGGGTGAATGGTTTTATATTAAATCAACATTAACTGTATTTGTAGAAACTGAAATATCCGAAGTCATTCAATTGGTTATTAACCAAAAAGAAATCCACTACATATTGGTCACTGTTAAATGTGAAAATCTCCATCCAGGTAATAAAGAAATTGATGTCGAGAACGAAATTATTTTACAAGATCGTTTAGGCACAGGTGCAACCGGTGATATCTACAAAGGTTTGATAACACAAGAGAATTTAAATCGTCATGTAAATATTGATTTATCAGAACTACTATCTGGTCAGAATCATAATAATACCGGTCAAAATTGGTTAATAGCACGTAATCCATCAAACGATTCAATAAAGAATCGTAATAGCAGTAATGGTAGTAACAACAGCTCAAATAACAATGCTAGTAATACTCAAATTATTGTTGCTGTAAAGAAATTACATCCACTTACCGAGCCATCGCCAGAGATGATCCAAGATTTTTATAATGAAGTACGTTTACTTTCAATGTTTAATCATCCCAACATTGTTAAATATGTTGGTGGTTGTACTAAAATTGGCAATTGGTCAATCGTCATGGAGTATGTACCAGGTGGTAATCTCATGGATGTGTTGTCCAATCCCGTGTTACTCATTCCTTACAAACTAATTCTTCGTATGGCTTTAGATGTAGCAAAGGGATTGCATTATCTTCATTCATTAGGTATATTACATTTGGATTTAAAATCACCAAATCTACTTGTATCATCATTATCAACAAACTCTAAAGTTAATATTAAAGTAGCGGATTTCAATACATGTATCAATAGAAATCGTATTACAGGCTTTTTTAAACCCAGTGTTCTTTTAAGCAAGGACAGTGAGAGTGACTTAAAGAAAGACTCAAAGAAAGGTACAACCCTATGGATGGCTCCAGAGGTAATCAGAGGTGCCCTATACAGCGAGAAATGTGATGTCTATTCATTTGGCATTATTATGTGGGAAATGGTAACTAGAAAACTACCATATTCACATATATCTTTTAACTGCGAAGTTGAAGATCAAGTTATCAAAGGCCTTCGTCCACCAATTCCAATGAATTGCAATAAAACATATACAGATTTAATGGAAGAGTGTTGGGATGATGACCCCGAGAAAAGACCTCAGTTCGATACAATCATCCATCGTTTAAATAAAATGGTTGAAAATAATAATATTCAAGAACAAAAAGCTAAAGCATCAGTTAAAGGTCTTAGACGAACTCAAAGTAATAGTGCTCTTAATGTATTTGGTAATAATAGCGATCCAAATACTATAGTTAATAAGTTTGATTCACCCCCATTAATTTTAACTCAAGATCCAAATCTATTAATAAATTTAAATAATAACAATAACAATAACAATAGCAATAACAACTCAACAACAACTACCACTACCACAACAACCACTACCACTACCACAGCCTATAATAATATTAAAAATAATAATAATAATAATAACAATAACAAAAATAGTACCATTTCAGTTTCTCAATTTGATGGCGAGTTTGTTCACTCTAAACACAAATCTAAAAGATTCAGTTTTGATGGAAGCAGTGTTCACTCATCAATTTTAACGATTAACAATGATAGTAATTTACCATTTAAATTTTCACCCCCATCAACACCCCAAGGCTCATTTTTACAACTAAAGAAACTAGATAAGGAATTAAAACAAAATTTAGAAAATCAAAAAAGCATTCATTTATAAGATATAGACCCTCATTTACCAATGTCAGTTTAAAAAATTCAATCCATAATAATTATAATATTAATAATAATAATAATAATAGTAATAATAATAGTAATAATAATAGTAACGATAATCATAATCAAGATAAATAAACAATCAAAACAAAAATGTATTATACTTTTCCTTTTTAGAAACAAAATTTTTTTTTTTTTTTTTTTTTTTTGGGTTCAAGATATATAATTCTATTAATAATTTTTTTTTTTAAAAAAAGCAATAATATTTCTATTTATGAAATAATATATCTAATTTTAAATTTAATATTTTAAAAATTTTTTTTATATCTAACTTTTTTTTATTAAATTATTTCATTTTATTTTTTATTTTTATTTTAATTATATATCTAGATTTTAAAACAAATAATTATTTTTTCAAAATGCAAGATAATATAGAAACACCAAATAAATATAGTTCATTACCTTCCTTATTCAATACTCCAGTTCAAAATCCAAATAGAAATGCAGGAAATAGTACCCCAATTCCAAATTCACCATTTTTAAATGCTTTAACCCCAGTAAATGAAACTAAAAAACTTTATGATATTTCATCAACAGATGCTTTGCCAATACCAATATCTAAAGAAAAAAATGTTCATTCACCACCAAAGTTAACATTTTCACTTAACGAAATTAGATTAGCATGTGAAAAGGTAATTATTAAAATAATTACAAAAAAAAAAATTATTAAAAATACTAATTTTTTTATTCTGATTAGAAATTATTATTATTAAAAAAAGAAGATTTAATTAAAATTAGTCAAATTACAAAAAATAAAAAGAAAAAAGTTACTCAATGGTTTTTCACTCAATGGTTTAATTCAAATAATGACATTGATCAAAATATCATTCTTAGAACCGTTTTCTCTGTTTTTTGTTCTTTAAGAAAAGAAAAACAAATGGGTGAAGAAATTTCAAAAGAGTTTCAATTATTTTGGAACCGTTTAAAAAATGAAAGAAAAAAAATACATAAAGTAAATATCCCCCTTTTTTTTATATATATATAAATATTTAACCATATTAACATCTTTATGAATTTTATTAGAAATTAAAAAGAAGAGAAGTTATCAAAATAGAACAATTTGAAGAAATAAGTGATTCATTTTTAAATAATTAATTAAATAAAATACCAAAAAAAAAAAAAAAAGAAATAAAATTGGCCCCATAAAAAATAAATCATTTTTTTATTTTTTTTTATTTATTATAAAATGGTTTTTTTTTTTTATTTCGATATAAATAATTGGTGAGCTGTTTTTTTTAATAAATTAAACTTAGACAAGATATTTGTTTTTAAAATTCTTTTAAAAAAAAATTAATCTAAATTTTAATGTGGGTTAAAATTCAACTAATAACTTATAATTCTTTTGACATTTCCAACACCCTATAAACAAGTTTTAATAAAAAAAATACAATAAATATCACAACAGTCCACCAATGAAACTTTTTGTTTATTAGTTCGTAATCTTAAAAAAAAAATTTTTACGAAAAAAAAAAGAAAAAAAAAAAAAATTAATTAAAAAAAATAAAAATAAATCACTTGGACAAAAGATAGGTTGTATTGTTTGTTTTGCTGTGTTGGCATATCGAATTATAATTGTTTTTTATAAAAAAAATACATTCTATCCATATTATCATCCAGCAAAGACATGAAACATACCCCA